AAGCAATCGAAAAAATTTTGAAATATAAGGTATATAATTTTTTAAGTCATTTTAAAGTATATAATTTTATATGGAAAAATACAAAATTCGCGAGAAATCGATTGAATAGTTCCTGAGAAATGGAATTTTAAGGAAGTCGTATTTTAAAAACTCGATTTCTCAGAAACTATTCAACCGATTTCGCTGAACTTTTGCATGTTGCCAAGCAAATTTGCGTACTTTAAGAATAAGTAAATAATTTCGTGTCTTACAATGCAAAATTTTTTCGATTATTATTAAATAAAATAAAAGCTTATAAATATTTTTAAAAAATTTATTTTTTACATAAAATTATTTTTGGATGAGCGAATTACATGTTTGTATGCAAAAGTTTTTCAATTCGCTCAATAATTTCTCGAAATATCGTGAAATAGGCAAAAAGTAAAATTTACATTGAGGGGTGGAAATTTCGGATCGCACCCCTGATCAAACTACGGGGACCATATTTACCATATTTATCCTTTATCTGGGGTTCAGAAATCTGAATTCGTCGAAAGAAAGTTATGTTTTCAGAGAAAGTACACTTTTGTGCCTGATTTCATAATTTGAAATAAAGTCTGCACTTATTAATTAGCTTATTTAAAATCACACCCTCGAACTATTAAGAATGAGTCCTAGAACGTGAAGATCCGATCATTAGATCAAAAGTTATTAGGGTGGTTCGTTTTTTCCTTTTAAATCAGAGTTAAAAGAATTTTTTTTCACTAACACTTATAAATACTTTTAACAGTAAAGTAAATGTTAGATAGAGAAATGGTCATACTCCAAAATCCTTATCAAGTTGTAATATGCTTTTAATAGTCTAACAAGTTTCGGTCCTAGTTGCTCCTGGCAAATGTATTTCACAAAAAACTTAATGCTGAAAGGTTATGTCGTATAAGTACCAAATATACTAATATAAGTATGCAATATTATATAGATAATTTTGCCCCTACAATGCCGGCGAAATTTCGACTATCCCGCTAGCGTCGGCATCATGCCTACCAAGTGATGCTAAATACAGTTAATCTCTATTCTGATGGGATGAACTACGATAAACGAGTCTTGCTTAGTTTAATAACGTAAAGTCATCGGAAATGAAGGCAAATAATGATAAATAAAAAAAATTACAATCATTTTAGCTTTATTTATTGAAGAACTTTGTGAAATAATGAAGTAACTGACATTTTCAGAGAGGCTGTAAATTGAAAAAAAAAGTGCTATCCAAACTACTTTATTATCAATTTATTTATTACTCATTTTTTTACCTTGTTTCATTTACCACCGCCTAATTTAAAATAAAAATAATGCAAGCATACTAAACACTAATGTGGGTTAATTTGTAAGAATAAAGTGAAGGAAAAAGCATATCTGTTACATTAAACATACCCATATTGATGCAACCGATTTATTTTATTTTCTCTGATTCATTAATTCCCCTAAAAATATCACTTACCTGGTTCTTCCACTAAGCTCTTCCAATTGTGTCGGTAGATCTCTTTCAGGTTTGAACATGATTTCGTTGTGTTTCTCAATACTGATTCGTTTCTTTTCTTTCTTTTTTCTTATTCTTCTCGTGCGAAGAACAGGTATTCAGGGTAGTCTAGTATATATATATTACGAATAGCGAATATATAATGAATTTCGAAAAAACATAGGTAATTTTTTAATTTTGTAGCACATAGCTTTTTTCTTAATTTCTAATGCAGATTACCAGCATTAATTACGCATCATAGCCATCAATAATTGCATGGCAATTTTTTACAGTTCCTTATAACGAATAATTAAGTACCTTTACTCTCTTAATTTTGTCTTTTAGTACAAAGCCTATTTCTTTTATTTTTATATGCATATATTACCTAAGCTAATTCAGAATCGTTGGCGTTAATAATGGTATTTTACGTTTCTCCTAAATGAATTAGTACCCATTTTTACTGTCTCGCAATGGACTGATCGTTAGGACACGGTTCCCAGTAAAACACCGAACACTGGCTGCGCTCAGTAAACGGGTGGTTGACCACAGCCTGCGTAGGGACCAAGGGTGCTCGGTATCGGTCCCCGTTAAACTGTTCTACGGTAAAGGGCTTGACTTCGCTCACATGTCGTCCGGCTACCAAAGCAGGGGAGCCATCCCCTCTGTAGAGGATCAAAATTGCGATGGCAGGTCTTCGGATTTTCCTTACGGATGTTTCCCAGACCTTTGCCAATAGACCATTATGCAGCTCTAATTTCGACGTAAATAAAGTACCTTAATGCAAATTTTACTTTTTGAGCTTTCACCATATCCTGAAAACTTTATAAGCGAATTTAAACTTTTTATAACATATTTTTAAAATTCGTATATACAAAGATAATTTCTATACAAAAAAGTAGTTTCTAATAATTATTTATTATTTTTTATTATTTTACTTAAATAGTTGAAAAAAATTTGAATGTTAGGTAAGCAATTTTTTACATATTTTTAAGAATTTAATTTTATAAGGCTAAATATGGAATTTGAACAAAATTGGTTATATAGTTCCTTAGAAATCAAATTTTAAAGAAGTTGCATAAATTAAATATTTACTTTTTCAGGAATTTTTAGACTGATATCGTTTAAATTTTATATTTTGCCTTATAAAAGTAAATTCTTTAAAATTATGTAAAAATTTGTGCACCTTACAATTTAATAATTTTTTTCAACTATTTAAATAAAATAATAAAAATTAATTGTTAAAAATTATTTTCCTCATGGATTATTGTTGGATTTTATAATTGTGTGCAAAGATTTTTTGATNTTTATTTACCTTCTTATCAAACCATTACTATTATACAAAATACCATTTCTTCATTAAAGCATATAATGAATTTATAAAAATTTTCAATGAAACCTTTATGATTGTTTAAGTCTTTTAACCTCACTATAATGTAAAAAATGCAACTTCATAAAATTAAAAATTTATAACCAGACATGAGAATAAATTATATAAGACTTTTATTTTCAAATTTGACATTTGACATGATCTAATAAAAGATTAAAATTGATTAAAAGAATAAAATAATGATATCAAAAGAGGAGATAAAACTGGAAAGATACACAACAACTAATAAAATCGCCACGACTTGAGGAGAAATTTGCTTGCCTAACCGACATTCGATTCCGACAAACGATATCGCCTTGTCGGATACGACATAATCGTTATCGTATCCGTGAGTGAAAAAACGTTCCGTTGCTGACCATGCATTTTACTTGACCCTCTGTCGTTCGCCGACAATCGGATCCGTTTTGTCGTTATCGTGTCGTGTAATGAAAAAGCGCCCTTACAATTCAATAATTTTTGTCAACTATTTAAATAAAATAATAAAAAATAATTGTTAAAAATTATTTTTCGCATAGATTATCGTCGGATTTTATAATTGTGTGCAAAGATTTTTTGATTCATTAAAAAAAAAAAACTGACACATGGTGAACTATGCAAAAAGTAACATTAGTATTAATGGAACTAAACTTCTAATAACTCGCTTGACCTAATTAATAGGACAAAATTTCTCAGTTTGTGGCTACACCCTATGTTTTGATGGTCAGAAATCGAAATCTGTAGAATAAAAGTGTATGTTTATTTAGTGAAAGTACGTTTTCGTGTCTGATTTCATAACTTGAAATATCGTCTGCACTAAGTAATTAGCATGTTTAAGATCGCTCACTCAAACAATTAAGATTGAGTATTAGTTCGTGTGAAAATCGGATCTTCAGATCAAAAATTATTCAGAACGCGTTCTTTTTTTTCTCTATCGCCTTTTACAATCGTTATAAGCATAATATCTTTCGTTAAATAAATTCATCCTTTTTTATAAATACCCAATAACAATATTCACATTCATGAAAAAAATTTATAAACATTAAAATATTGCACTCAATGAACTGTAAATATTTGCTTATTTTCATTAATCGTAAATTTTTACTGACTTTATAACATTATTTGAAAAAATCATCCTAAGCAGGATATAAAAAAATAAGTTTTTCGCTAAGTTTTATTGAGAATTTAAAAACCACAAACCATTAATTCTCTGGTATTTTTTCCTAATATGCTTAATGCTAAAAAAAATCAAAGAATTCCATATTTGTGAAATTTCTGTCCTTTTTTTGAGAAAGATGAAATTAAAAGCACTCAGGAGCAATGGCTCTCAGATAATCATTTCTTAATAAAAATTTCTGCCATCTTCTAAATATTTGCGAAATTATTATTATGATTTTCAAATTTTTATCTTTTTTGTTACATAGCTAAATTTAAATCAATGATTATTAACAATTTATTTCAAAAATTTGGTTGAAATATTAGGGGGACTCTTTGAAACTTATAATTGTTAAGGGGGGGGGGATAAACTTACCGTCCGCGAACTTTCGACTCTGATGGAAATGACAGTAGAAACAAAAACTTTCTTGTGAATGACTAGCTTTTAAGACAGGAGAATCGATAAAAAATGTGTTTTAATCATTAACCTGATAAAATTAATGTCTCATAGTTTTTTCTCCTTTGAAGAACTATTCTGATAGAAATATTTTACCAAATATTGCTACCATTAAACTTAATTATAACCTTTTCCCAATAATTCTAAATTGTATATTACGAAAAGTGACACAAAGTGAAAGCCTGTATAACATATTTAACTTTTAATAACCTCTAATTCTATTGAAGGATATTTCTAAACATTTGCAATGAATAACTATATGAATTGCAGGACTATGTGATTAACGTAAATCTTATACAATAAGTATCTTTTTTTAATTTACAACAGAATCCTTTATTTAATTAGTTAATTTAGCGCATACACTCTACTGTTACCTGAAAGCATTCTAAGCGTTGTCATAGATAAAGAATGCTGCTCAGTGCCATCTGTAAGCCACTTAGATTTTGATTTGCCACAAAAATAAGAAATTGTGTTAGCGCCATCTATAAATAATCCTGAAAAAAAATCTATCTTTTTGATAATTGCTTTTCATGTTTGGCAACTGAAAAATTTAGAAAGGAAAACAAAAGAACTAAACAGTTTGTTTTTTTTAATTTTGATTAGTAATGCTCCAGATTTAATCCATATATTTCCGGGAAACATTATTATAATGAGTCGTACCTGTTAAAATAAATGTATTGATAATATTTTCGTGAAACTAAAAATGTCTAATTTTATTCGCTGTTTTTCTGGACCTAGACTTTTCCGCTTGTATAAAACTGAAAACAGACAAGTGAGCTAACATTTCTGAAATAAAATAGCTCTTTTTAAATTATCTGCTTGTAAAATCATAATACTAAACATTAATCAAGTTGAAATGTTGTAAATTGTAATATATTAATCTACAACTTAGTAATGAGATTGTTGATTGAATTTTCTGCTCCTAAATTCATGCAAAATAGGATAAAATATTTAATATTATTGATATGCTCATTCCAAATTAATTACTTAATTACCTTAAAATTTTGTCTATTAAGTTTATTCTTAATAAACAAAACAAACATTGAAATTAATTATTTTTTATTAGAATTTGTTTATGACGTTTAGTTACAGTAATAAACAAATTCTAGTAAATAACTATTACGTTTGGCTACACTTTTAACCTATCTATATGACTGTTAATAGGAATAAATAATTTATTGAATAACTCTATAAAATCTTCGTGTTTCTCATTAATAAACATATATATTTAAACATATAATGTATAGTTTAATAAACATATATAATATATATTTTAGGGTAGAGATTACACTGGAAATGCAATTGAACATTATAGCAATGGATTTGTTCAGACAGCTTTTTTTACGGTAATAATTTTTTTCAGATCCTCACAAAATTTGTTCATATTGTTAATTATGTAAAATTATTGTTGCTTTAGTATTGTATATTTTGTTTAGATGGGCTCATTTTGAGGGAAAAAAAAATATGTGTTTTGCTGAAAAATTAAGTTGTTGTAATGAACTGCAAAATAATGAAATTTCTTTCAATATTTTTTTTTATAACTGGTGTGAAAATATTCGATTTGAAAATTATTCTTTTAATAAAATTCATCAAATAATTATTATTTTAATTACATTAAATATAATAATTAATTCCAATTAAACTGTTCTAAGATTATGTAACTTAATTCCATGTTATATAAAAATGTCATACCACTTGTTTGGCTTTATACAAAAAATAAAAGATTTAAAATGAAGTTATAGAGAATCAAAAAAATTAATCTAAAACATGAATCTTTAAAAAATATTCCCTGTTACAGTGTTTTCATTACAGATAAAAAAATGGGAGAAAATTTCTCACCCTTTCTCAAAAACAGGGTGAGATTTCAAAAAGTTAAGTGAAATTTCTAAAAATTACAAAAACACGAATAGACTTGGAAAAAAATTATTTTATTAATTATAATACATTTTTAACATCTTCTAATTGAATATTTTTGCTGCATCATCATATGGAAAATATTCTATATCTACTTTTTCATCAGCTATTATATTTATTTGACTGAAAAATTATCCGTATTTGTTTTGTTTTGACCTTTTCTACCGACATTTGTTTCATTTTCATTTGTCCGTTACGTAGTAGAAGATGTCGCCTTAACAAGGTATTTGTCCTTTGTCCTTACATTCATGCACAAAAAATGTAAACGTCTTACATGAAGAAACCTTACCTATGGTGCACACGTGGTTACATAGAAATGTGTTCTGAAAGGGGTTCCGTGGTTCGGGGGGGGGTTCTTCNGGGGGGGGGGGGGGTGTTCTGCTGTTCGCACCAGTTCTGAACAATACTGGTAAATAGGGAAGCTGGATAGCAAGGAACAATGTTCAAAATAATGAAAGATCAAGGAAGAAAAGTTAAACGAATTTTATTCAAAATGGCGAAATACGAAATTTTTTCCAAAATTTTCGTATTTTTGAATTGATTAAATAGAGTGCTCGAACTTCTTGCTTTAATAATTTTTTATAGAGAGAAAAGAAAAAAATATGCGAGATTCTCGCGCTGTAGTGAAAATACTGTTTTATGTTCAATGAATAAAATAAGATTTACATACTTTCATTTGTTCATATTTCATTTATTTTTATTATTTTGTAAGCTATAAAGTTTAATTATAGCTAATATTCTATAACGAGACATTGTAGAAAATAAATAACTCTTTCTTGTTAAACTATTACCACATTTATTTTTAAGGATGAACAATTTTATTTTCCAATGAATTTTAAAGTAAAATATTTTAATTAGTTAAATATCATATTATGTGTAAATGTATGTAATAAAGCAAAAACATTTTAGCTACATTTAAAATTTTCATTTGCAGTTTTGACAAAAATTCATTTTGTAGAGATTATGTTTGTTCTAGGACATATAGTTTTGAGTACTTTCTGGTTTAGGATACACAAGTTTTTTATTAAGTCAGGTAGCAAAATCTCCACTCGCTAGCCCTCTATTGAAGACCAAATATTAAGGATCAACAAATAATTTTTGTCTTGGAAGAATATTATGTTTCAAATTAAACTGTCATACTTTCTTCCAAAGTTTTTTGTGGACAATTTTTAAAAATGTAAAGCAAGTGTTTCACATTTTAGAAGAGAGATTAATGAAACATATGCAAAGATATACACTACAAAAAGACTGAAATCTGCATCATCAGTTGTTAACATTTCTGCCTGTTTTTGACTCGTTGGGTTGGTCTCCCAAGAAAAAATTCTTGAATTTGTGCTAGAGGATATCAAGACACTTTTTGTGAAATCAAACCCGAATCTCTTTTATGAACAAGTGGATGTTAGATTGGCAGAGTGGGCAGGTTTTTGTTTACTTCACTTAGATTGTCTAGATGCTAAGAAACTGAGCTACTGGAGATATTAGAAACATAGACTCTGATGGTTTAACACTAAAGAGTGTCCAACAAGATTTCAAAATTTGCTTTAGATTATAATATATTGTGCTACATTTTTTGTAGGTTTTGTTTTGACCACCAAAAAGCTCTCTAAACTATATTTGTTAAAATTTAAAAAAGAAAGCTCTCTAAACTATATTGTTAAAACTTTAAAAGTTCATATATATATATTTTTTAAATAGCATCAAATAGATTTTATTTGGGTAATGCCTTTAGAACTGAAATTTTATGCCCCACAATAAGTTGTATAGTTAAGTGTAATTATGATTAAATTATTATGTATATTAAATTACCAAAGTGTAGATCGTTCTCAAGGAAATTAATATTTTGAGATTTTAATAAAAAATTAATGACATTTAAATAATGTATTACTATTTTAATTTTGTTAAATTTTGAAAATTTTACTTATTGTTTTTATCTTTCTTTCATTACTTTTTAAAGTCATAGATTTATGAATTTTATATTTATGAATTTTATATTTTATCTTTTTTGTGCCAAAATAGAGTTTGATTCAAGTAAATAATATTAAGTTCAAGCATTAATCTTTGTAAAAGAGAAATTATTTTAACTTATAACATTCCAGTTAGTTTATCATATTTTGTTAATTATTAAGCAATCAATAGATAAACTTTTGAAAATTATATTATTTTTGCATCATAGATTTATTAATTTAAACAAAGTATTTCTAATTTTGTGTTCTATTTAAAGGCAAAATTAATCTTAAATCTGCATTTTAAATTAATAAAAAGTAGATATAAAAAATTAATTGCAAATAAAACTATAGACTTGAGTGTATTGTGTATGAAAATAACTTGTAATTGAGACAACTTGATGGTAATTTAAAATGATCCAGTGGTTTGATATTATTAATTGATATATCTATGTCTTTTCAGTATTAGTATATACATACCTTAAATTAGTGTAATTTTCAATATGTCACATATGTATGTTTCATATGTATTCACTATGTACTGCCTTGATTGCCTTAATGGTATTTTTTTTAAGTATATTGAAAAAAAAGTGTTACACTCCATTTGTTTAAGATAAACTCTGTTTAAGTATAAAAATTTTAACTAAGCATTAGTCTTTCGGTAATTGATATTTTTTTGCCATTTTATCTGATTCAGAAATATCTAACAATCATTATGATATATTGTACTTGTGATTGATATGTAAGTGATTCTACTTATTTATCCATAATTATTTATGCTAAAATTTTTTTTATATTTTCAGTTTAATCTTATATATAATCTGACCTTCTACGCATTTCCAGCTGTAGGTGGTATCATGTATAGACGAGGTAAACTTTTGTTTTAAAATAATATTTAATGTAAATTGAAGTCTGAAATTTATATTAAATTTAAGTTATTGGATATGTAATTTTTATTGAGTTTTTTTTTTCCATCCTATTTATATTTATTGTTTTTGTGACATGATTTTTACTTACTATCTGAGAACTGTTTGATTAATTTTTGTTCTAATGTTTTGTTAAATGTTCTGTAAAAAATTTTATGAAAAAACATAATGATTTTTTATAAAAAAGAAACGTGAATATTCGTCGCAATAACTGTTGGGGGGAAAAAACTATCAAAAATCTGCATGAATTTATGATGATTTTTGCACAAAGTTTGTAAAAAGTAATTAGGTACTTAAATTTGTGATTACAACTTTGGATGAATAGGTTTTTTTAAAAAGTCATGAAATATAGTTATAACTCTGTATAATAATAATAACTCAGAAATAAAAGACATGAGGAGTTTAAAAATACCAAGTGAAATTTCGCAGCATTTCTTCCTAATGCGCATTTCTTTCCCTTCAGTACGCTGGAAAAGCAATCTTTTGAAGACAGTTCTGCAGAAAAAAGGGCATGATTCGAAAAATTCTGCAGAAAAAGAAACAAAATTTTATGTTTCCGAACTTAAAAATCTTTCTGCAAGAACTCTGTAACATTTAGTTTCTATGTTGCCGTGTGGCTGCGATTTTACCACTGGAATGTAATGTCACAATTATGTTGAAGTTGTTTGACAGTAAAACAGAACAAAACACAGAACTGAAGGACAAAAAATCAAAACAGCATACCATACCTTTACATCAATTGCTAGTTCTGGAGACCATTCATATTTTATTGATCCAAGTCAAATTTTTTGCCCCTGATCCACAGACTACCATTAATTTTGAGCTTTGAATTGCATATTTTGGTATATAAAAACACAAAAAATGTGTGTTAATTTAGTTAATATTTTATTCTAATATTAGAATTTTCAGAAATAAATAAGAAAAATATTCTCCTTGATCTTTAAGTTTTATTATTTTTTTTTAATAATTGGAATTTTTAAAATTTTCCAAATTTTTATAGCTTTGTATCAGTAGATTGGTAATATTAGGCTCTGAGAATTTTTGCAACCCTGCTTTCTTCATTTTAAACTTTATAACTAAATCAATGAAAGCAATTCCTTCATAATCCTTCTAAATTTTTGTTCATTTGTCATTCAAGTGTAATTCAATTCTTTCCAAGTACAAGTCAATTTTTGCTTTAACTTTTTTATCTCAAATAATAATAATTTAATATTAATTATTTCTAGGATATTTCACTCAAGAAGGCATTATGGCAATGTGTAGATCTATTGGCATATCTGGTGTTCTAGTGTTTTTTGCTATGTTTCTCAGAGGTAATCTGATTTGAATTTTTTTCTGATGTATGTGCTTATATTTCTATGATTGTATAGTTTCATGAATATCTCTCCCTTTCCAACTATCTAAAAATAAATGTTTATGAATTATGTGTGTTTTTCGGAATGTTTTTTTTTCACTCTATTTATCTAGTAATTGAATGAGATATAAGAGAATTTTATCAGTTCTTAACGATAAAATATAAATAAATTTGCTTTTGTAAAATGTTACTTTTATTAATGAAAAATAAATATATTAGAAATTTCTTTGTCTTATTATTACAGTAATTTGAAGAAATTTAAAATGAATATATTATTAATCAATCAATAGTATTTGAAGGCAGTAATCTAAGGATCAATGAGATAATTGCATTAAAATAAAAATTTTACTCTGATTAAGAAGAATGTTTAATTTCCAGTAATTATTAAAAAATACAAAGTTATTACTTTTTTTTTGTGCTCAAAAAGTAGTTATAAAATCAAAAGGTATCAATTTATTTGTCAAAATTTATTTCATATTTAAATACTCTCCTCTCTGCACTGCACTTCAGGCAAATTTTTTTCAAATCGTCGATATATGCCTTAAAATCGTTTTTGTGAATGACCTTCAGAGTTTCTACTGATTTTTGTTGTTGAATTAATTGACTTTAATAATGGCCTTGAAAAGACAATTTCAACACATGGAATAAGAAAAAGTACTGCGCACATTAATGCTTTGTGAAATTGTAACTTTACAATGTGGGTCTGACAAATGTTACAAACATAAACATTTCTAATTTAAAGTAATGTTTCACAACGTATTCACGTTTCCCGATAGGTAAATAATCTTGCAAGTTGAATCACATGCTTTCATTAGAAATATGATAATAGTGTGTCTTGATAAAACCTACGATTCAAAAAGAATGCCCTCTATTAAAAAAATTTTACGAACCTCTTTGATTAATATTTAGAAAGAATATGTTTAAAATAGAAGTCAGTACGAAAATTGATCTTGTAATCCTAATTTTTAATTACACATTGTTTTTTTATAACAATGTAGCACTAATCAACAGTGGTTGAATTTGTGTAAACATTTATAGTTTATTGATGTTTTTATCAGCACATAGTAGTATCTAATTTTTCAAAATCAGTAATTGGTTTCACAAACTGTGTAAATTGTTTCCAATTTTTTTTTAAATATAGGTAATTTTTCTTATACAAATAAAAAATAAATTTCTTTTTATTAGGTATTGGAAGATTTATTAATGGGGATTATACAGAATTTATTTCTAAACTGGATACTTACAAGCAAAATCCTTCCAGAAATCTAAAAGTAAGTAAAAGTATTTACATAAATTAGTATGTATTATCTTCAAAAGTATACGAAAAATCTTTTAACAAAAATAAAATTACTTCATATTATAAAAAATATCAATAATATATTTCAGTAATAATTTATGAATATAAGTAATTTTTCATTCTGTGATCTAAAATATCTTATAAGCTTTTAAGTAGTTTTTTTTTTTAAATTTTATGTAATACTTCATGTAGATTTAAATAATTGATCTTATTATTCAGAAAAGACTTGTAGCAATTGATATTTATTAAAACAAGATGATGAAATTTTTTAATACTGTAAGCTTTATTAGTTTTTTTAAAGTTAATATGAGTTCTATATTACAGCTTGAAGTTTCTAAATACGACTTTGATTTTCGAGAATGGCCTGTTGATTTCCGTTGGAATGAGAGTACTGTGTAAGTGTTTATTCCTTTTTTTGTTTTAGATTCTCTGAAATAGGTTATGTTTGCAATCATTAACAACTCTCTTTCAAACCTATTTATAGGGCTCAAAACAAACCAAAACTGTATATTGAAGGGCGTTCAGGAAGAAATACTATTTTAGATAAATGTAAAAGCATGCCTTGCGATATTTTAAGGTATACATAATCTATTTAAAATAAATTAATGAAATGAAATATCAACTTCTGTAATAAATTTCTTACTATTTAGCTTTCTTGCGATCCACACCTTTGGGCGCATGATGATATATCCTGGTTCTGTTGGAATTATGAATGTTATTCTTTGTAAGTAGTAAATGTGTTGTTTATTAAGTTTTGTTAACTATTATGAACCTGGTACTTTGATAAATGTATAAATTTTAATATTTCATATCTCTAAAAAAAAATATGCCTTTTGTGATTGTAAGAGCTTAATAAAATTAGTTTAGTTTTTTACAAAAAGCACACATATAACAAATTGGGGCTGTGTTTTATGCAAGATTAATAGAACATTACAATATATAATCTTGCTATGTATGAAATTTAATTATAAAGATTCTGATATCGATGTTTATGAACTGTCACAGGGTGCGTAGCGTTTGTAAAAAGTACTTACAGGTGCTTTTTTGGGGATTTCGTTTTTAAAAGCTTTTAAAGGTGCTTTTTTCAGCTGNGAACATTACAATATATAATCTTGTTATGTATGAAATTTAATTATAAAGATTCTGATATCAATGTTTATGAACTGTCATATAATTATAATATACCTTAAAATTTAATAAATGTTGAAGATGAAAAAATTTCTTTTTCCTTTTTAATGTTATGTGATATAATGGCAAATAATTTTAATTCATTAAATCATTAAGTTAGTTCATGATAAAGTCAAATTTCCTTTTAGGAAGATATCCAGTTTTTTTTAAATTTTTATTAACATTGATTTGAGATAATGGTATTTTATTTGTTATAATATGTTTGTATTTTATTTATTATAATGTGATTATAATGATGTATATCTAGTTTTTTGAAAAATTACTTCAAAGAATGTTAAACACAATTTTATTTTTGTTCAAAAGAAAAAAAAACTTGGATAGTAAATAAATTTTAATTGTCATAACTATTATTGGGGAAAAAGAAATAGAATTTTTCAGATATTCCTGTCTACTGATAGTTTTTTGTTTATTTCACAGTTACCGACATAAATGATGATTTTGTAAAATGAACAAGTAAATTGCAAAAATCTATTTTGAATCTGTACTAATTTAAATATGGTGCTAGTGTTTTTTCTTAAAAGTTAAAATGGAAATTGCAGAAATAAATTTTGTTGTATAAGACTTATAGAAGTTATTTAAATCCATCATTTTTCAAGTTCTATTATTTTTAACAGTTGCAGAGATGATTGTGCTCCGGAAAAAATCCGGATTTTTCCCTAACCGCGCTACGGAAGTTTCCGGAAATCCTAGGTTCAAAAGTTTCAAGAAATTATCGATCACATTTATGTACAAAAATTCGTGTATATTTTATTTAAAAATATTAGAACTAGAATTTATACTGGGCATCTTTCATTTGTAAATATTTTTTCTGGTAGAATAATAAATGTGATTAGAGATAAAAATAAACTTATACATAATTATTCATTTCAATTATGCTGCATATAATTTATTTAGAATTAAATGTTTTGAAATGCTTCATTAATGACTTTACTCAAAAAATTTTCAGGATATTTGAGTTGCACTCACAATCGCCCCTGAAGTTGTATAAATGTGTTATTTCTCAAATTTTATTATCCTTTTTCTTGAGTTTTACCATTTCCCTTCAATTTTTTTTCTAATTTTGTTTCTTTTTTTAGGGAATATTCTTACTAAAGGAAGATCTAAATTAATGGAAGAGGTAAATAGTTTTTTTTTTCTTTCAATCTTGAATTCCTTATTTGTTATTCCATAGTTTTTTTCCTTGTTTGTTTCTTTAAAATTGAGACTAATAAAATTAGTTTTTTTCATAGTCATAAAGAAAGGATTAAAAATATATCACTATAATTTGCTTATGTTGGTGAAACTGTTAGCCAAACTCTTATTAAAATAATTGTTTGTCCTCATTATAAATTTTTTTTAAAAAAATTAGTCTTCTGTTTCATTTAGGATTTTATTAAATTGCTCAAGTACTTAACACATTGAAGAAAAATGTGAACTTCTTGTTACACCTTGAATTTTTCTTAGATTCAGTGTATGTTATTTTTACAGTAACAATTAAATGTTACTTTCTTTTCAATATCATTTTTGTTGTGTTAAAACTGTTACTCTGATATATTTCAAGGTCTCATTTTTCAACGAATAATTTTGCTTATGCAGTTTATTAAAAAAAGAAAGAACTAGGAATGATCAAGGTCATTAAAGCAAATTTATTGCTTATTTTAGCTATTTTATAAATTACAGCGATACTGTTCCTTATATTAATCACAAATTCATATTATGGATTGCTACTTAATCAAATATAGTTACTCATATTTATTACGCAACATTACATTATATCCTTTGTTATTTTAGCATAGGGCGGAACGGTTTAAACTATTGACGGAGGATGGCAATGAAATTGATTCCGTGTTTGTTGACAGGAGGCATGATCGAAATCATCCCAATGGAAGTATCCTTGTAAGTAAATTGTAATTTTCTAATTGTATTTGTAATCAAATAAAATATCTTATTTTACAGTAGCACCCATGCATCAGATGTTCCCAATTTTTTTCGGCTACAGAACCTTAAACAATCAAGCTTCTACTGACGGAACCCTGATTTCATAATGACCTTCCAAACATGTTCCACAATAATTGTGTACTAAACTGTCTTTAATTGGTCGGTTACTGTGCGATTTTTTTTATATTTTTTTATTATTTCTGATACTGTTCTATTCTTCTAAAAAATTTTGAAATCCAAGCAAAACCAAACAAAACATTCCATTTCACTAATTTACTACTGTTGAAAGCAGGCTCGTTATAAATGGGTTCTACTGTATAAGTTAATTAGAAGTGTTTGTTACAAAAAATTGCAATATTGAATATTAATCTAATTGGTGATAATATATTCTAACTGTCTTAAGTATTATTCATTGTTATTGATAAGGTAACTTTTTTTTGATACATTATAACTCAAAAAGCTTTTGTTTAAAAAACTTGTCTAGTAAAATGTTTTGTTTTTTTTCCTTTTAATCATGTGATTCATAATTTTATCTGCTTTAAACTAATTGTTTGGAGGCCAATAAATTTTAAAGAAATTTAGAGCTTGAAGTTTCTAGCAAGATTTACAAAACTGTGTTTGCAAATATGATGGTACATGCATGCTAAATAATAATATTTCATTTTATATGTTCAAAGTATAAATGTAATTAAACTTAGAGGTGTACATTGTTGGTCAGGTACACTGAATGTCAGGTAGAGATTAAACTTAGAAATTTTATTTTATTTATTTTTTCAAATTTAAGCAGCGACTGTTTTTTTGCATTTAAAATAGATTTCTTTATATATTTAATGGTAAAATTACATATCATTCTTTGCCCTGCATGTTAGTGCTTAAAAATTCAATAATATCCGAAAGTTTATTAAATTTAATTCAGAAGTCTTTCTTATTATGAACAATATTATATTTTTTCATTAAAAAATATTAAAAAAAGGTAATGCTTTAATTTATAGTAACTTGTTTATTTTATTATCCTAATTTTTCTATTAATTGTAATCAAGATATAGTCTTAACAATATGTAATTATCATATTTCATTATAATGGACAGAAATTTTTTAAATTTCAGAGTTAATATATATATATGTATATATATATTTTTTACTATTCATGCTACTAAATGTGATAAAATATTGAACTAAAATTGTCTAAAGAACTGATAAAAGAGCTTATTATTGAAATTTTCTGTTTTTTCTCCCTAACTTCCTTTTGTTTTACAATTACCATATTGTTAAGAACATTAAAAATCTAATTGGTATTGCCCAATAAATTAGTTTTAATTTTTTCTCTTTTGAAAGAAGAGCTTTAAAAAGTTTTTGCCTCGTTTTTTTTTGTAAAACAAAAAATTTTCTCAATCAATTAATTTATCTTAAATTTAGGTTATCTGTTGTGAAGGTAATTCTGGATTTTATGAATTTGGAATAACAGGAACTCCTATTGATGCCAGTTATTCAGTGTTAGGCTGGAATCATCCTGGTTTCGGACATAGTACTGTAAGTAATATTGCTTTCTTTATTATAATTGTATGAAATATGATAGTATAATTTTTTAATGATTTTTTATTGACAACAGTGAGAAAAGCTGTTCTTGCAAAATGATTTTATTATTGAACTTTCTTATCTATTCTTGTGATCAATGTAGCACAAACATGGTTTACCTTAAAAACCAATATTTTAATGCTGTTAATACATAGAAATCTTTTTTTCAATGAAATTATTATATTTATGAAATGATGCCTACTGTAAAGTTTTGTCAGTTCTTTTAAGAATAATTTTCAACTGCTTTGCGCTGTTTATTTGGCTTACAATTGGCTCCCTTTTTTTATCACTGAATGTATACGCACTGACTCAGCAAATGAACTAAAATTAAGATGATTCCTAATAGTTTAAAGTTAAACCTGATCATTTATTCATGGTTGGTTCAAGTTCATGTGCACCATTGTATTTTGTACAAATTCCAACAAAGAAGGAATGCAACAAAAATGTGCAGAAATTTATTAAAAGTGTTTGGTGAAAATAGCTTGAAAATTTTAAAAAATCTGATTTTCTCCTCTCTTATACGCTGCGCTCTGAGCGACCATCTTTGATTCATAATGATACTATCAAGGTCTTGTTAGAACAAATCCTTTTTTATCAACATCGGAGATTGCCAAAAGTCTCGATTCAGTTAAACAAACCGTTTTGGACAATATCTGGATATAAACTTCTGCAATGGATAGTTATTTTAAAAAATTTAATCCTTTTTTTTTATTTAAGTAGTCTCTTCCATTTCTATTAAGGGTACTCAGGTCCTAAGGATTTCAAATTATTACCCAGTAAATTAGCCTATTTGCCAAGTTTCGAAACTCTTCGCCAAATACAAATCTTAAAAAAAAATTTATCATTATTTTTTCCCCATAGAAAACTATTTTACGTTAGTTTGTTTCAGCCTTATATTATTTGGACCCAATTGTAATTAGTTCTGCGGCACATCTGCTGAAAAATTCCTTTTGACATAATTTTGAGGATCGAGTTAACTATATTTTTTTCTTTCCAGTGGAAAATATTATTCTCCGAAACACAATTTTATTTACCAACTATAATATTTTATCACATTTGGCGAGGTAGCAAATGCTTAATGCAGGCCCTGGGTACTTAAATATTTAAAAATAAACAGGTATTGACATGTAAGTAACATAATGTCATAAATAATTCAACAGAAAGGGGCACTGTTATTGTAACAAAAGCTGCAAGAGAGCTTATTAAACAGAATAATCAAAAATTAAATTTTAGTTTCTACATCTTTTTTTAAAGAAATTAAATTTTAAAGTAAAGTGATTAAAAAAAAATGGATGCCCGGTGGCTGAGTGGTAACGCTTCGCTCTGGCATGCCACAGATCCTGGGTTCGATCCTCGGGCTGGGCAAGGTTAACTCAGCCTTTCATCCCTTCAGTGGGTCGATAAATGAGTGCCAAGCATGCTTGGGAATTTAACACTGAGGGTTTCGCGTTTGGCTGACCACCTAACCGGAACATTTGCTACTGCACCCCAGAGCCCAAGGTCAAGAAAACTGAGATGGGCACATTAGCCTTGGCCCTCTATGGGCTGTCGCGCCACTGAGTTTAAGTTTAGATTTAAAAAAATAAGCTTGATTTTCATGATTAGAAAATATTTTTAGTGTCATTTATTTTTCTTGATTTGAGTATTTATGATTTTCATGAGTTTTTACTTTTCAAGCAATTGCAATTATTATTTCAAGTTTTATCTTCATTTTTATAATATTTAATTATGGTTTCTAAAGCACATGTATAATACTAATTTTATTTATAGGGTACACCATTTCCTAGTCAAGAACTTAAAGCAATGGACGTTGTAATGCATTTTGCTATATCAAAATTAGGATTTAAGCAAGAGAATATAGTCCTATATGCTTGGTCAATTGGGGGTTTTAGTGCAACATGGGCAGCTATGAATTACCCTGATATAAGAGGATTAGTATGTATTTTTATTTTTTTTAAAAATGCTATTTATTTATATGATGATTAAGGTTTAATGTTATACTTTAATTTTTAATGAATATGAAATTTTCAGTTTTGCTTCAAAATTTATAGATTTTTTAAATAATTAAGATAGAAAACATTCAGTACTCTAAATCAGTAAAATTTAATGAAATTCAAACAGGGTTGCCACTCCACAGGGAAAACCTGGAAAATACAAGGAATTTAAAATCACCTAAAATAACAGGAAAATGCAGGGAATTTTGTTTTTTATTTTTATCTTTTAAAAAATGGTGACCACTCAAAGTGTAATCTATGGAATATTTAACCATGATATTTCAACTGAACTATTTCATTTACTATAGCATTAAAGTATGCTCAGCTGTTTTTCCAGCAATTAAAACTAATAAATATAGTTAGCCCAATATATCTCACACAAGAGCACAGTAATTGTTGTTTCCTCTTAATATATTGTGTATAATATATACAGGGAAAACACAGGGAATTTTTTTTTCCAGATATGAGTGGCAACCCTGTCAAAGCAAAAAAACTTTTTTGAATCAAAATATTGCTTTAAATTTCTAATAATCTAAATGCATATAGACCTAAAGTTTAACAAATAAATAAGATAGCTCATGTACACTTTTCCTATTTCAACATTTGTATGTAAGCACACAATTGTCTAATATTTAGTCAAATTTGTAAAAGAAAAAAAATAAATAAATTATCTTCTGACCTTTATGCCTTCCTTGAATAGTATCACCTTCAAGTGTGTGTAGTATGAGCATTAACAGGGTGATTGAATTGGTTCTTTTTCCAAAATTTAAAGATCTGGTGATACTTATGTATTAACTAAATAAAAGTTGGCAATATTAACTAAACAAAAGTTATAAATCTTTGTTTTTGCAGATTGTCAATTAAATCATGCAATTTTCCTCACAATAGTAAAAATTTGAAACTAAATTATTATTTTTTTACTAAAATGTTAAAACAAAAATTTTACTAAAAGATTTTATACTAATTTATTTATTTTGTTATTCAAAAGTATTGTTGGCATTTCACACTATAATGAATTCCTCTAGATTTCTCTTAGAGTCTAATGTTAAAGTTTCAATTTTAATTTGATTTTTCTTTCCTTTCAACTTAAACATATTTAAGTTAAAAGTTGATATTCAATGCATTAATTCTTTTTATCATATTGTAGGTTTTAGATGCTACATTTGATGACCTCGTAGCTTTAGCAATAGCACGAATGCCATCTAGTTGGAGTTAGTATTGTGCTTAATGATTTATTCTCTATTTCTTTATTAAACTTTGATGTCTAATTTTTTAATAATTTATATCTTTTTTTAAAACTAAATTAATCATTTTTCCTTATTTTAATATTACTTCAATTGTTTTTAGAACCTTTAGTTGTCAGAACTATTCGTGATTATATGGACCTAAATAATGGTGCCCAGTTGGAAAAGTATGTTTTATTTCTAACTTCATTGAAGGAACTGTACTTATAAGTTACTTATTTGTTTCTATTATCTTTTAAGGTATGATGGACCTGTGTTATTAATAAGGCGATCTAAAGATGAAATTATATCTACAAGGTAAGTTTTATTTCTTTGTAGATAATCTTTAGTTTACATTTAAGACTTATAATTATTCATTTAAATTGGCAAGTAGGAAAAATAAAAATCAGTAATATGAGATTGTCAACATTGGTGAAACTTTATGTAAATGTCTCACAATTTATTCATTTATTTTTTCGGAAGACTATAATTTTTTTTTTGAAGAGGGTTGCAATGAGTTTTGTTTTTATATCAGTTAATAATACAGGGTTCGTAGCATTTTCAAAAAAGTGCCTATTTTCGTTTTTTAAAAGCCCTTAAAGGTGCTTTTTTCATTGGGTGTTTTTTAAAAAGTGCTTAATTTTCCCTCTTTCAAAATGAGATTTTTCCTTTTCTATGTTGATTTTTTGCTTCAAATTATGCAAAAAGACACAGTTCACATTGTTCTAATCAATGTTTTTATAATTAATTCAACTCCAATCTATTTCAGCGTATTGTCAGTCCGTAGCGTATGAAAACGCCATTCGTTTTACATGATTAAAAATTTCATGATTTTTGACAATTCTCAAAAACAATGCCAAAAGATTTTTTTTTTTGATATGACGATTAAAACAAGATAAAACCGTCAATTGTCAAAAACATTTCAATTCTGCCTAGTTATGATATTTTTAAAAGTGCTTAAAAATATTTTTTGAGTACTTGAAAAGTGCTTATTTTTTGTTAAATAATTTGGCTATGCACCCTGTAATAACTTAATTGTTCTTAGATTAAAAATAATATCAATTTGCATTCAAAATTAATAGGCAAAGTTAAGCACATGCAATCTTTACAAAGTGTGTGTCTATTATTTCTAGTTATAAAACTCTTCTTGTTATTTCCTTTTGTTGATAAAATTAAGTTGTAGTTGATTTTCATCTTTCTGGATTTCAGTTATGTTCTAATTGTTTATTGTAATTGTTTATTGCTTTAAGTTTTTATTGTACTCACTACCAACATTGTGCTTGTGGCTGGGGGGGGGGGNNNNGGGGGGGGGGGGGTAAGACAGGATAAGGTTCTGGGATTGCTGAGGGCTCAATCAAAATTCCTTACGAAAAATGTACCTTTGAATTAATTTTTTAAAGTATGTATGTATGATAAAATATAAAAACCACAATTTTGAATGAAGGCTCTTCAAAATTCTACAAAAATGAAAAGGATACTTTTTATTTAGAGTCCACAATGATTTTTTTCTCCCGACCCTTAAAATCTGTATCCAACTGTGATGTACCACATACTTAGTCATATTAATTAATCTTAGCCAGGAAAAAATTTGAATAAAAAATAAGCAATGGACTCTCATATTATTCATTTTAATTTTGATTACTTATTTTATTGAATTTCAGCATTATGGGTTTAGTTATTTGTATCAGGTTTCTATTTTTGATAACTAAAACTACTCCAACCTTGAATCTTTATTTATAATAAAAATCTTCTTCAAAAAGAATCAAGATTATTTTTTTATGGTTAAGCAAAGTAATTTTATGTTATAGAGCTTCCTTTTGAAACTAATTTATTTATTTTTGCCTAAATAAGGAATGGGACAGATTCTTCATAAAGAGCAAGTTTTATATTATATATTTTTTTTTAAAGCTACAATCTCTAATAATTATTTTTGAATGTATTAAGTAATTTCGTAATATTTTTTTAAATAATTTAAAATTTTACAGTAATCTTGTATTTAAATTTTTAATTGCTTTACACTAAATTTAAAGATGTTACATTTCTTTTTAGAGCCTCTAGATCTTTGCAAACAAATCGTGGCAATGAACTTCTTATAAAACTTTTACAGAACAGGTAATAAGTTTGTATATTTTAATTCTCAATCTTTAAAGTGTTTGAAACTATTTTTCTGGTTTCTGGAAATCCTAACTTCCAACTAGATAAGATAATTAAAGGTAAATTAAAAATATCAAATTAGTTGATATTAAAATGTAGTATTGCTAAAAATAATCTTGACTGAATTATCAGATATATGATTTTTAAAATTACCTGCTACGTAACTTTAAAAAAATTTGTCCTTATTACACGCAGGTAATTTTAAGGTATCCGACTACCTTCGGAACAAAAAATTTCAGAAAACAATATTTTTAACAATATTATTGATTTTTATTACATATTATGATGTAAATAGAAATAATTAATAGTAAATATTTTAAAAATACCAAAAATATTTTATTTAAGAGAGGTTTTTTAACGTTTTTTAGTGAAAATTAATCGCTTGCGGAAAACACTCTATATTAAAAACTATCAAAGAGAAGGCAATCAAAATTTGTATCAATATTTTAAAGCTATCAGTTAGTGTACTGAATTTTAGAGGTTAGTTACACAAACATATATGTAAGAAACATTCACTGAAAATTTGAAGACAAAATCACAAAATTTGTTTGAGTTATCTTGTTTTTCGTAAGTGAAAAATCGCAAAAAACTCATTTTGAGAAAAATGCAATTAAAGTTTATAATTGCACTTTACTTAATATTTATGACTGTTTGATAGCTAAATATTATTATGTATTATAGACACTACTCTTCTCAAGATATATGCAAAGTTTTACACTTTTATTTAACGCCTGCAGTTTTCTGTGCACACATTTTATATTAGTCACTTGATGTTGTCAAGAATCAACAACTCACTTAGTCTTCAACGAGAAGGCAGTTTTACTGCACGGGCATTCTCATAATGTTATAATAATTAAAAAAGCATGTATGACAATTAATAATTATACTTTATAGTAATAATAAATTTATTAAGAATTTTGATATTGTGAATATGAGCAATTTTTAACACAAATAGGACAGATATTACAAATAACAAATAAGGCGATAAACCTTTGAAATTATAAAAAGAAACAATATGCACTAATATATCGGATATATGTATAGCTTTAAAAAAAAAAACAAATGATATTTAAAATTTGTAATTTAAAATTCGCCTTTCTTATATGTGGGACCTTCTTTCTTCTCCTGTCTAGACACTTTTCTTTTTTTGAAGACTCTGAGTTTTCTGCGTTTGAGCTTCCTATTTGCCGAGGAATGTCTTTCACAGTTGACAATTCTCTCACCATCCAGAGTATGTTGTCCTGCTAATGTATATATCGACCAGGAGAGATATTTAATTCTGTGAATAGCGAAAGTATCCCACGATAACCTTCATTAAACTGAATGACTGCAATGCTTGCACTCATTTTCAAAGTTGTCAGTTCAACAAATGTTTCTTTTGGGGCAATTTGCCACAAAACACCATTGAATGCCTCATTGGCGTTTTACGTTTTACCATGAAGGCATTTTTTTAAGAGCTTCTGATCGCACAACTCAAAATAGGTTGGCTTTATGACATTGATGAGATTTTGGGGTAAGCCCTTAGATACTTCAGAATATTCTTCATTTGAAAACTTCGCACGCTGATATTTACATCAACTGTCAACACCTACAGGACATTGGCCATGTTTTGGCTCTGTAGATGTTGAACAGCAATGGTAAAATGCAGCTATTACAGCAGACTGCATTTTTTCAAGATTCCCAACATTACTGCGAATGGCGATCCCATAATAATTTTGCAGTCTGTCGATAAATGAATCCGTTAGTTTTCCTTTACCGCCGAGTCCCTTTTTAGTACTCTTTAGCTTACGCAGCCGGGATCCAACTCTTTTCTGTATGTGTCCAATATACTCGAGTTTTGTGACAGTATTATCACCATAAATGTCTTTAACCGTCGCATATGCTTTGGAATCACCGTATCCGTAGTATTCCGTGTATCGCAAGGACCGGGATCTTTCGGACCTCTCAAATATGCGCTGCACACCAATGGGTTCCATGCTTCCAGCAGAGCCCTTGTGATTTCTGCAAACATGCTCGCTAGGGGTTGTGTCATTGGATAAATTACATATCCTACAGTATTGGGACATTGTCTCAATGTCTAAAATTTTGCCAGTGTTGATTGAAATAACACTAACACAACCATTAGATGATGAAAATCCCCGGCGTTGCCATGTACCATCAACTGACACTCCACAATCTTTATTATCATTTTGGCTTTTCACAGATTTCGCAGCTTCATTTATTGACTGTTCTGCAGCTAAAGTTGCAACAGTCAACAATTTAGCCTCTTGTTTTCTGAAAGCAACTTTTGATAGAAAGGGAGGAAGATTCAGTATAGTGCAAAGCTTTTTAGCAGCAGTATAACCTTTGCCGATCAATCTCAGGCCAAGCACAAAACGTGTGTTTATTTCGCTTTGCTTGATATCCTTCTTTGAGGTACAGAATGCTTTGACAAAATCACATTTTTTGCACACAAAAGTCAAGTTAGAAGAGAGGCCAAACCTTGAATCTTCCAAAATATTCAGCTTGTTATCAAAACAAATCGGGCAGCACAATGAAGTAAATACAGCAATTAGGATCTCCATATCTATAATTCTATTACCACATATATTTTTATCCTCCAAAAAGCTCACTTCATCACTATAATCACTTGCAAAAGATAATTTTGAAGAACTTGCACTAACTGAAACATCTATCTTTTCGGTATCAGCACATTTATTAGAATGTTGATTTCCATGAAATGTGCATTTTTTTGATCGAGTAGTTCTGTTCTTACCCATTTCATTTAAATTAGTATAAATTTTTCAAAATAAATCAGAGAATTTGTTGAAAATACAGCAAAGAATGAGAAATAAAATGAACGCTTCATATGTAAACAAACAATTGCAAAAATTCAAGCATATCGTCTGTTGCCAACTAAAAAAAGCACAGTTACATAAAAAAATTATTCAGATTCATTAGCCGAGAGTCTAGGAGCCTTAAAAATTAAATATCTAAATTATTTTTTTTTTACATAAATAGAGAAAAAGTAAAACTATTGGTTAGTTTCGGTTTCGTTTTTGTCACTTCCGGTAAATTTGACAGCTACCATTCATCACTAAAATTATCATAACTAAATTTCTATTTGACGCATATGTAAAAACAAGACATTTTTGAAAACTAGAGAAATGGGGGAACATAATGAGACAATAAACTGAAATTTGAATTTTTCGTCGAAATACTCGCTTTCAAGGTGGTCGGATACCTTAAGCAAAAACAGAAATTATCGTAGAAATAAAAGCTTGAGTTCTTAACTTTGGTTGTAATATATATATATATATATATAAACTAAAAGATGTTTCTAAACTAAAAGATGTCCTTTTGAATTATTACCATGATTTTAAAAATATCCTTTGTTGCGATTTTGATTATTGGGAAATTCTGATTAATCTTTGTCTTTTTAATAATTATCTTTACAATGGAAGGGATATTTTTCTTCAAATTAATGGAATACCACAGGGATCTAATTATTCATCTCTCTTAGCTAACTTATTTTTGCATTATTATGAAAAAAATTATACTCTTAGTATTAAATTTGTTTTTAGATATATTGATGACTTAATTATNCCTTGTTTGGACCATAGACCCCTACTTAGGGTCCGAGTTTGAAAATTATACCTTGATATTAAAGGGAGCTAGGGGGTCTTGAAATTTGATCCTTTCTCGAACCATTTTTTTTTTAAATTTTTTTTTTTTATTATTATTTTTAATAAACTGTTGTTTGTTATTTTTTACTTATTATTTCCCCCCCCCTTTTTCATATGTCTATTATTTTTCTTTGTTTTGTTCTTCGTTATGAACTTATATATATATATATATATATATATCAGATAATTATAACTTATAAGATGAGCTTAGTCAATTTTGATCAAATTTAGTCAAATACTTTAAAATTGGAACGAAACATGATTTAAGTGTTTGAGTTATATCTAATGAAAACAAGTTTTAAACTTAATTTATCTGTTACTTCAAACATTTAATTTTTTAATTTGAATATTTATTTCAGGTATCCTAAATTATTTACTAACGAATCTTTACGGGCTCTTAGAGAGTGGGTATCTGGAGATAAAGCTCACCAGAGTAAGTTGTTTTTTAAAGTTCTTAAACTTAAATTTGTTATTCTATCGATTCATTTTTATAATTCACTCTTGTGAATAATTATAAACAAGGCCTAAGTATAATGAGACTAATCAAGCCTTAAAATATTTTAGTGTTTTGTACTTTTTTAATTATTAAAAGTAAATACTTCTGGTAAAATCTTTCACCAATAATTTTGTCAGTAGAAATATTTTTTAACATGTTTTAAGGACACTATACAAAGGATTAGTTTTTTTGTGCAAGTTATATCATATGTTAGTTCCATTATTACCCAAAACTACTTGGATCTAACATATATATTTCAACTGTGAGTCAAAGCTGCTCAGCGTCTCTCATACTTATTGATTGTGATTAGGAAAATAACTCATTAAATTATAGTAGTTATTGCCTTTATATAAACTATTGCAGTTTATTTTTTATTACATTCATACTTTGTCCATTATAGGACAATCATGCTTGATATCTTTTGAGCACAAACAGTTACAAATAAAATTTCTCAGTAGTTAATGAATATTTTCAAGAATAGTGCACAAAGCATTTATATGTTTTTAAAGTCTTGCTCTTTTACTTTTAGTTTATTATTATTATTGTTATTAGTTTTTATTTTTTTATCTGTGAATTGTTATAATTCATTTTTTTAAATTTTACTATTTTGTTACTTACAACAATTAGCACCAAAAAAAAGTCCTATATCTCAGAGTATAAAATTTCAGTTCTTAAGGTCTTAGCTTTACTAAACGTTTTACTTGCTTCTATTTTACAGTCATGAAAAATTATGAACAATTTTTAAACTGTCATAAAAAAGCAGAAATTTAAAAACCAACGATATTTATTGCAAAATATAAAAAATATTTAAAGAAAATAAGTTTCAGTGGTTCCTAAAAGAATGGTTTCGTATTAGGGAAATGGATTTCTTGTCATTTTTTGTACAAAACGAAACCTAAATACCGCCTCTTGATCTCATTACACTGCCATACGCCACTAAATTTAGACATGATAATCTGAGAATATATAATCTGACTTGAAATTGAACTTTTTAATTAAAAGTTATGACACTCACAAGCTTTAAACAAAACATTTTTATGCATATCTAATGAAAAGAAGTAGAAATTTTGTGCCCTAATATAGATCTATTTATACAAGGTCCGGCTATTAATTTCCAGGACTCATGGAATAACTCAGAAGAAAATAAAATTAAACACATAGCCATTTAATATTATTCGAAGTAACCCCCATCAGCCATAATGCACGTCTGTGCTCGGCAGTGCAAATTTCGGATCGAAGTTTTAAAGTCCTCTTTTGGAATGCTCTTTAATAGTGACGTTACAGTCTTCTTGATGGCTTCGACATCTTGAAATCTTGTCCCCTTCAGAGAATTTTTCAGCTTAGGAAACAGTCTGCGGGTGCTAGGTCTGGAGAGTATGGTGGATGCTGCATTTCAACGACACCATGCTGGGCTAAGAATCGCCTCACAGGCAACGCAATGTGTGGAAGCGAACCTTTTCAATTTCTTCCGGCGTGCGTAACGACTGCGGCCAACCTGTGTGTGGATCATCTTCCACGCTTTCGCGCTGTCTCAAAAGCGTTTAAACCATTCAAAAGTTCTGGAGCGACATAATGCTTCCTCGCCGTAAACTTCTTTAAATCATTTGTAGGTTTCTGCAGCTGTCTTGCCCAATTTGAAGCAACATTTAATGTTTATTCTTGCTCCATTTTCACTTCGACAATAGGAATTTAAGAACTACGTTTTAATGCGCCTTTCTATGAGAACCACTTACTTCAGTATGGTGCCGATTGCACTGCACATGCGCTAGAAAACACTCTTCAATATGCAATCATTAGCGCCATCTTCCGGCTTTTCGTTCTCCTACAGTTACGTCAGTCCTGGAAATTAATAGCCGGACCTTGTATATTCCTATTTCTATATTTGTTTTGTAATAGTATACTCACATGATAATTGTTGAAGTGTTTAATGAAGTTTGAAACATATTATTATTATTAGTTTGTATTATTTATGCCTGTAGTCATTTCTGTATTCCAAATTATTAAATATTTCAATGTGTTTTAATTAACACTTTAAAGATATTAAAATATATCCAGTTGCTTTAATAATTTTGTTTCATTATCACTTAATAATCTGAAAAGAGTATCACATCATGTGCATCAAAAAATGAGTTTTGCTTAATTTTGATTAATGAATTTTTTGTTGTTCCATTGTTAAAATCTATAAACTTTTTTCATATGCGTCATCTAAAAACAATATTTTTCATGCATAAAAAAATATTCAAATTTACATTAAAAATGTAACCCTTAATATTTTAATGTATACATTGTAAATACACAATCTGTCTGATTTCTTACACTCAACAAACATGAAATGCAGCAAAAATTAAAAGGTAGTTTGTAGAATTTTGTCAAAATTCTTGGAATTTAAATTTTTTTTTTAAGTGAAAATACAAATGTGGTTGTTTGGAAAATTTATGAAGATTGTAATTTTTATAGTTGAGATTTCTGGTTGTCATATTTTGCCAATCAATAAATTTAAAAGCGTTGATATCTACTTGCGTTACTTGTATAAGTTATTACTCATCTGCTTGTTGTTTTTTTTATATATATTTTAATCATATAAACTTTTAAGAATGTTTAATTTCTTATTTATCAATTGAGTTATCTATTTCTTTTCTTTTTAATTTTATTAAAATTCTCCCACTCTTTGAAAAAGAAGTTTGCTGTTATATTATATTTATATAGGAATGTTTCCCAATAATATATTTTTTTTCTTTTTTATTTACGAACTGCAGCTCTTGTTTCAAGTCGGTATGGAGTAGAAGATGCACTTTGTGAAATTACTCTATCATCGTATATTGAAGAAAAAGGTTTGGAATGTCCTTCACATATAGGTAAGTTTTTTTATGTTAATTTATACTTACTGTGCTTCACATGAATAGATTTGTGCTTCATATTTTTGTATGTAAATTAGATAATGATTGTTGGTTGTTAATGGTTGTTTATTAATTTTTGTGATTGGTTATTACAGGTGATGATATGTCAACAGAGACCAAAACACAGCTTCTTCTTTACCTTGTAAGTTTAATGTATTATTTTATCGTTATTCATGAATATTATTATGTACTAGATTAACTTTAAATAGCCTGAATTAAAGTGAGGGCGAGTCAGTTTAGTTGAAACTATGCTTAAAGCTCAGAAGTAAATATAATCATTTATTTCTGTCGAAAATGCCTCACCAGTTATTAACTAGTTAAAATTATGGGTAAGAAAATAAAACATAGGCTCATTACAGCGTGCAAAATTGTAAATAAAAATTAGAATTTAAAAAAAAAAAAAAAAAATTGTACAAAATCTGTCAGATGCTTTCCAAGTTATAAATCAGTCAAATACGTTATAAGTAAAAAGTTCTATTTTAAAATTATCATTCTTCCAGATTTATTCAACCATTTTTGTTTAAAAAATTTATATTTTGCTATTCAAAATTATGTAGTTTAAAATTATGTAAGAATTTATGTACCTTAAAATTTCAAAATTATAATGTTAGCAAACTGAAAATAATAAATAGGAAAACTTATTTTTTATTCAGAATTATAATAATCGTGTGCAAAAATTATCAATTTTAAACTTATCAACGCTTATCAATTTTAAACTTAAGCATTTAAGGGACCAAACTTTCAACTGCTCTTCTGACTAAATTATTTGGACTATAGTTTTCACCATTCTTGATTCTTGAGGGACAAAAATCTAAATCCGTCAAAATTAAATTGTGTTTATTCAGAGAGAGTATATTTTTGTGTCTGGTCTCTTAAATTAAAATGTCATATTTTCAAAAAAAAAAAAAAAAAAAGAAGCTGGAAATTTCTTTAAAAGTGCTTTTTCTTATTTATGTAAACTTTATTAAAACCACTTAATGCTTTGCAGGCTGGGAAACATATGATTGATTTTGACTCAACACACTGCATTCCTCTGCCTGCATCAGTTTTTCAATTACCTTGGCGAATTGTATTTGAAAGGGATAATACAGGCGAGGTTGTGCCAAAGTCACATATTTAACTAGCTAGTGGATAGAAGCTCTAAATGGTATTATTAAGAAATGTGTTTATGAACTTTTGTTAACCAATTTTCAAAATTAAATGACATTCCATTCCCATTGAGTTTCAAACAATATTTATAGTTCCTCATCTCACTCCTGTCAAAATGAGTGTTTCAACACTCTTTTTATATTGGTTGTGATAATTCTTAAACCTTGAATGAAGTAAACTTTTCTGCTACATATAACTTTCACTATCGCAAAGATCTGTTTGTAAATGTGTGTCATTATGTATGTATCTAAGTTTGTATTTATTTTTGAACTAATTTTTATGTTGTACCATCCATGTTTGCTTTGTAATAGGTTGTAATGAAATTATATTATCTTTATTGTTGTTGTTTTATTTACAACATAAATATCACTAGATACATAAGGCTTATAAAATTGCAATCCTTAATACAAACTGAAAAATTCAGCATTTAAACATTATAATTTTCTAAAAGCTGTTATTTTATAGTGTGTAATTGCTGTACTTATAAGTAAAAAAAAATGTTTATAAGTCTAAATGAAAACTTGTTAATTTTGTTTTTTCTCCACTAATGCTCAATCTGTAACAAAATATAAGCATATTTATCTAACTTTATTTTTAGTTTCTTTTGATTTACTTACAACATAACATATACATTTTAATTATTTTATAACATAAGTAGCGTTTGATTTATACTACAATGTTTATGAATAACATTTCATTTTTTATATGACATTTATGAACATTTATTTATTCAATATATTGTTTATAAATTATATTTAAGCTACTTTATAACATTATTTGGGTTATATCTTGTAGCATTTGAGCACATTAAATTAAATTTTTTTCCGGTAAATATAGCTCTTGCGAACCTAAGGCAACCTAGTGATCTTTCCTTTTTTTTATTTGTTTCCTCCTTTTATTTCATAATTTATACTGTTTTTTGTTTCATAGTTAATACTTTATGCTGCCAATTTTGCTCCCTTCAATACTTAATGATATTTAAATAATGTGCCTTTGTTGATAAATTTGACTTATTCCATAACATGCCAATAATTGCCACTTTCAACTCAAGTGCTAATAAGCTCTACATTCAATTAATTATTTAAGCATTTAAAATATTTCCGAAGTCATAATTCTTGTGTAAAAAAGTACTTAAAATTAAAAAATACTAATACTTGTATTACAAATTCATTTACCTATTTGAAGGATGGGTTTTGCTTCAGGTAAAACCATATAGCAAGAATTATGGCTTAACTGCTAGTTGCTTTAAGGACTCAAATTAATTGTATGATAGGATTCATTAAGTATTTAAAAAAATTTATCTTCAATAAATTATTTTTTATGTCATGCCTATCTGCATTGATTATGGTGGACAAAGGTTTCCTCTGTTATATATATGTTTTTTTTAAAGAAAATATTAATAAATTAGTGCAATAACATAAGGTTAACGTAATATTTTAAATCAAAAGTCATTTTGCCTGAATACATTATTGTTCTTGTGCTTGTGATAAATTTTCTTGAGTTGTATCTGCCCTTTTAAAAGCATTTTTTTTATTTAATCGACTATTATGTAAAAATAAAGATAGTTTTGTTTTGACAAATGTCACTTTACTTTTATTCTTATTTTGTATAAATTCAATTATATGGCCATCTTAATGATGTACTAAACTGGAAACATTGTCTTTATTCAGCTGCGCATTGAAAATCCCAGATAAATGGAAATTAAATAATTACTAGTATTTTTTTTACTTTCGAATTTTAGATTGTAAATTTATAAAAAAGTAAGAAGAACTGTAGTGTTTAAAATTGTAACATATTGGCAATATTTTAGTCTGTGAAAATAGGCTATCTTAGTTCTTAGAACAAACTATATTCTGAGCATGTCTGTCCTTGTGGTACTGTACATCACTAATTTCTGCTGTTTACCTAAGGTTGAATCACTTTTAAATTTTTATAAAATTTTGAATTAACTTTAATCATTTCCGAACCAGTTTAATTTCAATTTTTGTTATGGCTTTGAATTCAATGTCCTGGTAATATTTCTTTTTCCATTGTCCTGGTAATATATATTTTTAATTATATGCATTGCAGATAACAGCGATGAAGGTTTCATAAATTTTTTTTCCTGATATACTTCTATCAAACAAAGTAAAATTATATAAAATTGAATCTTTTCTTTGATTCATTTACAATTTTTTTAATGCATTTTCTTTAGCTTTCTTAAACCATCACAAATTAATTTAATTTTTCTGTAACCAATACTGTTACATAAAAAAATGCTTATCAAAAGTTTATTAAGTTATTATTTTTTTCATGTTATATAGATACAAAATTAAAAGCCATAAAATAAAACTTTTTCTGATTAAATAAATGTTATTTTATTATGTTTTTAAATAATGTTAGGATTTGAAATGCAATTTTTTTTAGTTCATTGTAAGAAATAATAGTTTTTATTTTTTTTCTGGTGACTTTTTTTAAACTGTGATTTTTTATTTAGTTCAATCTTTCACCATGTTGTTTATTTTCATTGTACGTAATATTTTTTTTTCACTTTTGATATTGTTTCATTAATTTAATTACACTCCTTAAAGTATTAAATTTATTTTTACTTAAAAATTAACAGCCTATCAAGGAAATCTGTGCAAAGTAACATAATTCAAAATGTTGAAACCTTCTTGTGAACTCTTCATGAGTTATTAGTTTCAGTTAGTGATATCAATATGATTTATTTTTAGATCATTATAGATCTAGAAGTTAATGTGACATATAAACTGAAAAATAAGCAATGAAATTTTTTTTAACCTACTTGATTTTATATGTATTACTTTAATTATAATTTGATTTTACTAATTTTATCCTTTCAATTCCTTCCTCATTAATTTATTTTAATGCTAATTAAACTTTTCACTCATGAATATATTACTAACAATAACCATACTTTATCTGCTCTGTATTCTATGTTTATAACCATGTACGAAAACTCAAGTGATGCAGCAGTAAATGATCTTTATTTATTTAGGAACAAAAGAGCATATGTTGTGGGATTTATTTTCTGCTTAAAAATAATTATACATACATTTTTGTACTTTTTACATTAAGGAAATTAAAATTCCATTTACATGATAAGTGTGAATTCAAAAGTATTCCATTTATACATTTAATGTACGCTAAATCTACCATTTTACAATAAAAAATAAAGAAATTGTCTTATATGAGAAATTGATTTAAAAAGTTAAAAATGGTAAAATTTGAATTTTTTTTTAAAACTTTACTACCGTTATTAAAATATACTATTTATTTTTCTACTATTATGTATTTTTTCTGGTGACAAAATAAATACTTTTTTGTTAAAAAATTTAAAAAGATATTTTTTTTATTACAGAAAAGTGAATTAAAGTAAATTATGACACAAACTCTTTTTTAGTAATGAATATAAACTTCTGTCAGAGAATAATTTTAAGCTCAAACTTGTTTTTTCCTTGATTAAAAATTTAGTTTATAAGAATTTCATTGTAACTATTTTAATTATGCAAAGTAGGGTAAAACAACGTTAAGGAGCACAAAAAATATATGAAAATGCAGACAGCTGTTTCGGATGCTCAAAGGGCAACCTTCATCAGTGCAACAGTGTGTATTTATTTTAATTATAGTTCTAAAAAATTCATTGTTGATTAAATTTTCATGATTATTGATTGTGATAAGAGAATTTTGTGTAGCAGTTAATGCATGATTATTAAAGATTCTTATTACTCTCATTTAAATAATGTTATGGTATAAGCTATTTCAATTAATTTTTATTTATTTGTTTATTCATTTGGATTAATGCAGAGATGAACAATTAGTACAAAAATAATTTTATAATTTGTGCTAAAGCAAAATAATAATGTCCAACCTATGTTGTATTATATTGAAAAAAGTGTTTTCAAACTAATTCATAATCAATTTGATAGAAGATAAATTAATTGACATAAACAATTAAAATAAAACTATGAGAATTTTCGAATATTATCATTCTCTCCATTTCCCTCCTATTAACTCAAATAGAATGTTCTTCATAAAATGATTGCTGAATTAACTATAGTTTCAGTAGCTATCATGTAACTATAAAAAAAAAAATTTATTATTGTAACATAAAATGTAAATTTTAATTATTACTCAAACTATACTTCTTACACACAAATATTACATCACAGTTTTATTAAATTTTAATTATTAACACATAATAGTTATATAAGCTAATCATAATACAAAAAAGAAATTGAAGAATATTTATCTTCTAAGATGTATTGATTTTCTCTTTTATGAAATCAACTGCTTCTCTAAAAAGTAAATAAATGAATGAATGAAATAATGTTCAGGATAATAAGCTATATGTGTAATATTGTTTATTATTTTTTACTTCTTAAATTAAGACATTTTCTATTTTATGTCAGCATGGAAAAACAAGATAAACTAAAAAGTAATTTGAATAGCCTTATATAATTTTATGAAAAAAGCATATTCTCATTTCTCATCCAATTATCAAATATTTTGTTCTGGTCGAAAGATTGGAATTGAAATTATTTGTAAGTACTAGTAGTTTATAAAATTTGTAAAAGCCATAGGTTGAATGAGTTTAAAATTGAACAGTAATTCTAAAATCGCTATTGTAAACCAAGAAAAGTTTGTTTCCCTTTTTTATTTATGATACATAAAGAAAATTATGCTGTTGCTCACAATATTATGAAGCCTTAACCTTCATGAATTCCTGGCTACTTTTTTATGATATTTTTAAAAATTAGGATTTTTTTTGATTGACAAACATTAAACAGACATAAAATAATAAGACAATGTTATTAATTTAAATTTTTTAACTAGCAGGGTTAAGAAAACACCTTTTCAAATGAAATAATTATATAAAATATGTTTCCTTTGTATTATCTTTGTTTATTACTATTTTGCATACAAGAAACTTATTTATATTTTCAAAAAATATTGAAAAATTATTTTTGTTTAAAGTAATAGGCATAGTAAATAGCTATTCAGTTTTTTTTAAAAAAATTATGAATCTTGTAGTAATGATATTCTTTATTTGAAGTATTAAACCAAGGAAATAAAAAGTTAAAAATGAAACAAGGATTTAAAAAAAGCTCTTTTTTTTTCTTTTTCTTTTTAAAAAATAACATTTCCTTAAATTCAAAACACAAAAATCAAAATTTCTGTGCAAAAAGAATCATATAGAGGTTGTTTGCATTTTTTTAATTTGATTTGCAGGAGGGTTTTAAAGAAAAAGGACATAAAAATGCAGAGATCCCTTTTAGACTTTTAATTGGAAAGCTTCAATTTTGTCTATTTCAGATAATCATGAATAATTTTAATACTCATTCTAACCCAAAACCTGAAGGCGATAATTCCCTTTATAAAGCTTTTGCATATTTATTTCACAGCAATACAGTGGATACAGCAATACATGGCTAATTTGCTCTGGCTTAGTGTAGGATTTTTTAAAATTTTTTTTGAACTAATGCCTTGCTCATTTTTAGAATTTAATCTGTGGGTGTTATTAAAAAAGAACTCGCTGTTTTAAACAATTATTTTTTTTTTAATTCTGAGTTTTAAACATGCTTAAGACAAATCTTGGACAGAATGTTTTAAAGGTAATTATTAAAATAAGTTTGAAATCTGGGATATAAAGTTTTTATATTGTATTATGTTTATCATAACATTTCTTGTATTTATATTTTAATATTATTAGTTCTTAACAAAACTATATGAAACAGCTTCATATGATTTTCTTGGGAATTCTAATATTGAATGACACAAATTCGTCGTAGTGACTCAAAATCGTTCATGATTCTAATATTTAATCGTTTTAAATTATTGAAACTTTTCACTTCAGTTTCTAAGCATAAAATAATACATTTAAATATTAATTTTCTTACGTTAAAATAACAAAAATACCTTAAGTAATGAAGCTGATTAATAACTTCCTTCAGAAGTTTATTGTTTTCGATGTATGATGTACTAGTTACATCTGTTTGTATCCCAATACTTAGTGTAGCATTGAATGAGCAGGTTCTTGATCTTTCATCTGCCTCTAACATGCTTAACTGAGATGCTGTCAAAGAAAAATCATCATCCAAATTCATGCACTCATCAAAATCTGGAAAAAAAAGGAATTATTTTATTTTTTGTCTTATTCTATTTACAGGGTATCCGTTCACCCGGAAAGTCATGAATTTTGGTATTGAACAAAATTTGTCATGAAATGTCATGATTTTAACTATTTTTTTGAAAAAAAAAAATCACGGAAAGTCATGGATTTAGGCCACCAAAGAATTTTATTTTTAAAATGGAATCCTCCCCCCCTCCCCAATTTCACAGTGTTCCCAATATCTGAATTTGTAACAAAATCCCCACTCAGAGTCATACTTTATTACAATATAAAATGTTTTTATCTTGTCCTTCAAAAATTATGATGTTCTTTCAAAAAATGAAAGAAAAAACATCATTTCTAGAGGGAAGTATTTTTTAAACTTCTGTGATTTCAGAATTATTATTATTTATTTTTTATTTTATCAAATTAAAATTCTAGCTGAAGCAAGCAGAAAAATCAGGAGTATTCCTTTTCTTTCTGCTGAACAAGAAAAGTATCTTTAGAATATAATTCTGCAGAAAAAAATTTTTTTTTTGCTCAGCTATTTTATTGCTTCAACGCTTTCTTTACTCTGTTTTTTAAATTTAAAATCAATAAATATAAAGATGCAGAGTATAACAGTTTTGGTTACACCTATCATTCAAATTAGTGTCATTATAATGCTTTTTAAAATGTATTGTCGGAGAAAATAGTAACTTCGTTAAGTCATGAAAAATTTTTGGAATTAGTCATGGGAAAATCTAAAATGTAACAGATTCCCTGTATTTAATTTTTATTTTAGTATTTGTTTCTTTTAAAATTAAAAGTTTTTTCAAAATTATGGTAGGCTGCAAGTATTTAACATTCAATTATTTTTCCAGTCAGATCTTTAAATAAAGCAGATTTCAACTACTGTAATGAAAAAAAAAAATTCTTTAATTATTACCTGATATTTCTATACATTTTAAAGAGAATTTTCTGAAAATAATAAACAACTTCACTTTTGTCTACTGTCAAATTTTGGAATAAAGTCTAAATTAAATTATTAATAAAGATTTAAATTCAATTCAAATAAGTTATTACTTACCTGTTGAACTACCTGTTACTTTAGCATCAGTTCTATCTGTTTCATATAAAAATTCTTCCCTTTTTGCTCCTGCAGATTCTCCAAAATGTTCATTATCAATGTGGTTATCTTTTTCATTTACCTCAATTTTTTCTTGACTTATATCTGTTTTTTCCTGATTTGCATTACTACTTTCAAAACTATTACCATTAGGATTCTCGTTGAAGGAATGCATTTGTGTTTCTCTAAATTCTTTTGCTTCTCTCTGTGAATTAGCAAACAATGAATCGCTGCAAATGTTATTATCAGCTATTATCCTAGTTTTTTTATTTTGATCTAAATCAGAAAACTTTTTGCAAATTTCTTTTTTCTCATATAATTCTTCATCACTGTTTTTATTAAAATAATCGATGGCTGTTACTAAAGTGAAAGAGTTAACATATTTTAAATTTTCTGTAATTTCATTCATCATATTTTCTTCTTTGGAATTTAATTTGGTTATATTCTTTTGCTTATTCAAGTCAATATTCATTTTATTGCATTCAGTGGAAAATTCAGTGGTTTTATTGGGTTTTATTTGTGGCAAAGTATTCAGCGTTTCAATTACCTCTTTGCTTTCAGAATCTCTGATAACGATTATTTCTTGATTATTTTGATAATTTGCAGTACCTTTTTCTCCACCTTCATTAAGATTTTTGTTGTCAGGAATATCTTTATTGATATTTTTTTCATGGTGGTGCTGGCATTTATTGGAAACTTTTATGCTATCTTCATTTATATTATTGTCTACAGAAATGTCTGTGTTAAGGATTTTTTTCTGATCCTTGTGAGAATTGTCTGCAATTTGCTCTCCATCTTCATTAAGATAATTGTCTTCAGAATCATCTTTGTTAATTTTTTTCTTTTGATCATTGTGATATATTGCTGTAACTGTTGCATGTTTTTGAGTTTGGCAATCATACTGTACATCTTTTTCGTTCAAATTCAGGTGATTTATGTACAAGTTCTCTTCGCTGTCAAAACTTTGTTGCTGATTATGAACACATTCTGCAATTTGGTTCTCTGTTGCTCCCAGATCTACGCAACTGGATTCCAGTTCAGGCGTGTTAGATTGACTATTTCCATTAACTTCAATTTTCTTGATAAGTGCATCATCACCAAAATATGCAGCTTTTATATTCGTTTTATTTTCATCAATAATATCTTCAGGAATTATATTTATCTCAGCACCGCAGTTTGAGGACTCAACTTCCTCTACTTTACAAGAGATCTTCCAATCTTCTAAGTCCAACTCAGAAGGACTGGTAGTTGTGAAATTATGTGTGCTTATATGATTTTTATTTGTGTTACTAGTAGAAGTTGCTTCCTTATTTCCACTGATTTCTAGATAATCAAGAGCACTCATATGCAGAATTCTTAAATCTTTTTTCAATGAATTGGTATTGCCTGTAACTGTTTCAGATTTTAAAGGAACTGTCCATCTGTTACTTATATTCTTTTTCTTTTTAAAATTTGGTTTTGCGAGTTGGTTCACGTCTGCTGATATTGATGTATCTAGATTGCTGAAGCTGAAATTTGGAAAATCATTCTCAACAAGACCCAAAATAGAAGCTAGTAATTTATTATTACAGTTTGCTGCTGCATCTGAGACTGAGAGTTTAGTATTTATTTGTGAAGTTTCATTCTGCGGTAAAATATTAGAATCGTTTTGTAAAATTTCGTCATCAGGAACTTCATTTAATACATCGGCATCATTCACAATTTGTTTATTTCCCTCAGAAGCAATATTGTTTTCAATAAGCGAAAAAAATTTCTCTTTAACCTGCATTTTATACTTAGAATTGTTTACAATCCCATTTATTTGTTGGCGAGAGTGCACCTCATCTTTGCAGCTGTTTTGTTCTATGTTTGAATTACATTTATTTAAATTATTTTGATGATTTAAATGTGTGTCTGGTTCAGTAATTGTTTCAATAACTTTTAGTTCTGTTATTTTTGTTAATGATAAATCAGGTGTATCTTTTTTAATCATTTTGCATGTTTCCTTCTCTCTTTCATCAATGTTTTCTTTTTCGTTAACGAGAATGATTTCTGTGATGGATTCTGTATTATGTTCTGCAAGTTTTTCCTTTACATTTCTTGTAATTTGGTCTTTTTCCCCTTTTAAACTTACCAAGTTATTATTTCTAACATTTATTTCATTTAAATTACAGTTATCATCGTATATGGTACAAATTTTATTTAAGACAACTTCCTGTACTTCTTTTACATCATGTATAACTGGTGCCTCAAAAAACGATTTTGTCATTTCAGCCTTATGTTGGACTGACATATCGTTCTCTTCACAAATTTTACGAATTTCTGCATTTTCTGAATGTGGTGAAATAGATTTTTTGTTGTTTTCAAATTCATTAGTTAACTTATCACGGGAAGAAAATTCTATTTTATCTTGTTTCTTGCTATTACTAGTTTTCTTTTTTAGTGATGAGTTTTGTTGTAAGCGGGAAGAACGTCTTTTTTTATTTGACGAATTAGTATTAATTTCTGAATCAGAGAATTCATTTCCAATTTTTCTTTTCGTTGGAGAACTCTTCAATATTTTATGATTATCTTCAAATGTAGAGCATATACTTTTACTTGTTCTGAGCCTAGTTTCTGTATTAATGTCTCCCATGGCCTAGGCTTTGCGTCTAAGAATGGAAAAAATGTAATTAAATACTTTAACATTTATATTTAGTATGTCAGTTCTATAAAGAGAAATAAGGATTTGAATCTCCTCATTCTGACTTGTTTAATGAAACTTCGTAATCAATGCATTTTGAAGTTTAATTTAAAACTTCAATTTTCTGAAAGAATAACAAAATGAGTTTATTGGACTCTTTTGTAACTCTTTTGAAATTACTTATTAATTAAAAAAAATATGTTTGTAAAAAATATATGTTTGAAAAAAATATTTGTTCTGGGACTTAAGATAATTTGTAAAAAAGGAACCCTAGTGTGAAATTTTTTAAAAAAGAAAGTTTTCACCTAACTATCTATTGCAAATTTGATCGCATTGTATTAGTGAAAAAGTGAGAATTAAAACTCGTATGTTAAAAGTAGTTAATTAAAAAAAACTCTTTTTGTATGGTTACGTATGAGAGTGATTGTTTTGTGTAAACCCCAAATGTTGGTTACTCCGAACGGTAATAAGTTTGTGTAATGCCTATGATGGTTACTCCAAAACCTTTTTCTTCTTTTGGTTTTATAAGATCGGATCGAAGGTCCCCCTCCCCCCCACACACACGGAAAGCAAAGAGCACGTATAATATAAATGGACATAACCAAAATTTTTATTATAAGAAAAATATTTGAGTGTTAATTTTTCCAAAGCCTGAATCCAATTTTATTCTATTATTAAAACAGCTCTTCTGTGATAAAGCAATAAATTATATAATTATTCTAGGGCCGGGATAGCCTGGTCGGTAGGGCGCTGGGCCCATGTCCGAGAGTTCGTGGGTTCGAACCCCGGCGGCCGCACGTCACCATTTTACTACACGGGGAGTCTTCGGTCGGTGTGGTTCGAACAAACTTGGTGACTTATGCACGTTAAATCTGTCGAGTCGCAAAGTCCTCCATGTTCCCATAACAAATCAATGCCTCTGGGGGTACTGAATTGGAGATTGATCGTTCTCTGATTCAGGTCAAAATTACGATGAATGAATGGATGTATGAACGGGTTACACCCTATAAACGAGTGTTACGTATGGGTGTGGCAGAATTCGAATTCTTGGCCATAGATGGCGCCACTGGAAAACAAGAACAATCGCACCCCTCTGCCTTAACAGGCATACGCCAACAACAACATAAAACTATTCTATTTAGTACTTCCTAAGTTAACGTTCCATTGTGTAATTTTAAAACTTGAGCTTGCTTTGAACGGAGCTTAAATAAAGCTGTCCGTAACTTAATTTATTTTTTACTGTTTCAGAGACTTGGGCTTTTTATTACAATATATAATTTAGTCGCTATTTGATTAAAACTTCATCCGCTTCAAAAATATACAAATTTGAAATAACAGTCGACGTGTTTCAAGCACTCAAAAACAAACGCCCATTTACAAGACTTTCCAAACGTGAATGAATGAGAAGAAACATTTGAAATGTAAGGAAAGATGGAAAAGTAATGGAAAGAAAAAGAAGAAAAGAAATAGTAGCTGATAGGGGAATAAAAATGAAAAACAGAACAAGCAAAACCACAGTGTCCGTTTCAAATCAATTTTGTTTCCTCTCATTCACATCTGGCAACAGAAAGAAATGGAACAACAAAGAAATGGGCACCTGTTTTTGAACTCTTCAAACATGTCGACTGTTATTTCCAGTCTGTATATTATTGAAGCGAATGAAATTTTAACCAATATCTTATCGATTTAGTTTCTAGGGATTATTTATTTAACATATATTTAGTTACTTATTTTTCTATTCAAGAAACTTTTAACGCGCAATTTAAAGGTTATCGTATAAATTCTTGTTAAGACATATTATTCTATTCGGCAAATTTATTTCAAATTCTGTCTTTTGTCATTCAAAATGACAGCTTAAAATGGGTGAAAAATGACGTAAAAGAATTTTGTTGTCTAAAGCAAAAGTGTTTTTTTCAACCACGCAATTTTAAATATTTACAAGAAATTCAAGAAGTAAAAATATTAGAAAGCTGAACTTTCGAACAGTCTACTCTGCGAAATCTTAAATTTGAAATTACGTTTTCCATATTCTGTCAAATTCTGCATTTCCCATATTTCAGCAGTTCCATAATATCGTTATGAAAACACGGATCCCATCCTTAGATATCCTAATTATTTTTTTATATTTCGTCAGGCTTAGTTTGTAATACTGATTACGCTACCTATAGTACGTTATCTTTTAATAGTTATAATGCCGTCAAATTGGGCATAGAATAGTCTATTCCGACTATTGTGCCGTTACATTTAATCAGTCTGTGCAACAAATATAACTGCGAGTAATAACTAAGTTCAACAAAGGAAAGGTTAATACTTTTGTGCTTTGTAGACTAAAGCAAAAAACAATGTGAATAAAGCATAAATTGATATACTATAGTTTAGTTTTATACTATAGTTTCAGTTTTATAAACAAAAACCATCTTCAGTGTCTAAACATCAAATGAGTGTAGAGAGGTAAAGAGACAAACACATGTAAAGTGGTTTAACCAATAGGATAAAAAAAAAAAAAAAAGTTCGAACAAGGAAATAACAACCCTCTATATTCTTTGGATAAGAAACAAGCGTTGGGATTTTTGGCGTGAACCCCAGAGTGTAACAGATTAAATTAAAATAGACTTCAGACATTGGGAAACTGTGAGATATTTCGAAGATCATTAACCAATTTATTAAAATTTTTAAAATATATGATGACTCCCAAAAATCAAGTTCGTCCGAACTTAATTTTTGGGAATTTCTCGCTACGTTAAGTGCTTACGTAAGACTTTGAATTCCCTTTTATATTAATGAACTTATTATCTAGGAAACACACAATAAAGATGAAAAATTAATTGAAATAGTGCCCTGTAAAAGAGAAGTAAAAATCATTTTAACAATCAATATTGCAAAAATAACTAAATTCGAAGAAATAATCGTAATTTGTTTCTGGTTTTGCGTGTCATTGTGAATCGCCTTTAGGAAAACTGGTTTTAAAATCGTGTCAAAAAATGATTTGACTTTCGCAAATAATTTTGAATAGATCTGGTTAGAAATACAAAAAAAGTGTGATTTCATAACTAAAAATGAATTACGCTCCGTAGCAAAGCATCATTCTGTTATTCTCTTAACACTTTGACACGGTTTAAAATTTTTAAAATCTAACCCTTTGATCATAAGGGATTAAAAAATGTATCTTTTTTTTAAATTATTTTTTCCTTTTTTAACATTAATTGCTATTAATTACGAAAATGTTTTGTAAATACTTTCTCTATTTTTCATCGAATTCTACGAAAGTAGAGAACGTTATTATATTTTCAACACTCTTACTCATTCACAAGAAATCTAAAAACCGTTATATGCAGACATAAAATTGAAAACAATTAAAAGGATATGATTTTTACTCAATATATACTTATAATGGCGATAATTTTTATAGTTAATAGTATGTTATAGTTAAGTGTGGTTTCATAACTAAATAATAAATTACGCTTCGTAGCAACACAGTGTTCTGTTATTTTTTTTTTAAATACTTTAATACGGTTTAAAATTTTTGAATCCCGACATTTTGATCATGAGGGGTTAGAGATTTTTATAAGTTTTTTTTTTTTTTTTTTTTAGATAAAAATCACTTTCTTTTTAACATAAATTGCAATTAGTTACGAAAACGTTTTGTTAATTATTTCTTTCTCTTTCATCGAATTTTGTATAAATGTTACGTAAATAGAGAATATTATTATATTTTCTACACTCTTACTCGAATTTCAACTAAGACTGAAATTCACAAGAATTTAATGATCATTATATGTAGAAATAAAATCGAAAACAATTTAAAGGATAATGCTTTTTACACAATATGTACTTATAATCGCGATAATTTAAAAATTTATTTGTTTTGGTCTCCCTTAAATATAAAATATTTTTCCCTTTAATAAAACTGAAAAGATAATAAAATTCTGTAGAACTTAACCTGTAAATTAGTATAGCCAAAGTAACTTGTTTAGTAAGGTATTTTTATAAGTTGTAAGTCAGTCGGATCAATAAAGGCGCCGATGAATGAAATGTTTTAAAAAAATGAATTCCATGTGAACATAAAAAAAATTATGGAAACAAAACCATTTATATAATTATCGTTGGAAACTATGGTATAATTATATACTAAGAATTTATTCACATAATTTTTCCGATTTTTTAGAAACTGTACCAAATAATGTTAAAAAAAGTCACTTAGAATTGTTTTAATTTATTTTGAATGCATATTTAAACAAATAAATTTGTTAAAAATACTTACTACTTGTAGTCTAACATTCTAAACATACATATTCGCCAATATTGCATAAGTTACATAATATCGTTTTCGTTACTAAGTTTTGTTTTTATCGCTTGCTAGACGTATAAACCATAAGTTTTATATCTTTCTTTTCATGAAACTTTTAATCAAACTATTAAAATGCAATGAAATATTTAATTTTTAATTTTTCCCTTTTTAAAATTAGCTATAAAACTTTCATCCATTTTTAAACTAATGACGTAAAATTATTTTTATCACAGAAAAAAAGTGCAGTTTTTTAAGCAAACGATCTAATAAGTTTTCGAAATCGTTTTCTCATTATTAACATTTTATAAACTTGAGACTAGGGAAATGGATATGACCTGAAATCTCTTGTTGGAGGTTTTCTTTATGTCTTATATAAAGTTTTTTGAGAACTATTTTTATGGAAAAGTTTACATTTTCAATTTAAAAAAAATCTTTATTTAAAAACTAGAAAACGTAAAATGAAGAATGCTTTTAATTTAAAATAAAAATTGACCCTAAGAATCCTCATATTAAAATGACAAGTTTTCATATTAAATTTTTTTTTTTTCCTTTTAATCTTAAAGTTCTTAATCAAGACGTATAAAACCATTCTGCGTGAAACTATCCTCAAATTAGAAGAAAAACTGTTTACAAGTAAATTTTTTATTATGAAATCATAACACTTACCTGATTTATAAGTCCGGAGAATCCCAAAATAAAATGTTTTCCGATTTAAAAATTTTATTCTCCAATAATACATACATAGATCACTTCATAACTTAAATCATGACTTTTTTCATGCCATAACTTACTATAGAATTTTACAATTGTAAGGTCTCGATATGAACTTATGGATGATCAATTTCTAGTTGAAATTGATCATTCAAAATTAAAAAATACTTACCAAGAAGACATAAAAAAATTTATTAATAATAATCAACACAAATGTACTGTTTTAAGTAAATCTGATGATCCTTTACTGTTGTTTTCCGAATTATATATATTCAGAAATATGTATAATTCGGATTGCTGGTCTCTTGTCGACCCAGCAGTCTAGGCCAATCGCTACCCAGGAGTTATGAACTCAGCATGATACCAGAGGCGTTAAGAAGCCCAGAGTAGTGCTACAAGCAGATTGTCATCAAGGAACCAACAATTATGAGCCAACAATCTGTATGCATCTAGCAGCATCCCTTCAGCTTATTGAAGCATTGCATGAAACGATTGCTTTTGGTGTTCTAAAAACTTTAATGTTGAGAGTAGATTATTTTGTGCTACTAAGTTCAAGTATTTTTCGATTTTAATGTGATAAATGAGTAATTTATTATTGTAATTTGTTTGAGAAGCATCATTTGAGATAATATGCCATTTCATTGAGGTAATTTCACAAAATTATATTTGTTAAGAGAAGAGTTATTATTATTAGACACTGAAATCAAAATCAGAGGTAATCTTAATGCTAATAAGTTGATGACGCGAGACTGAATTTGATGAATCAGAAACATATATTGATCATTGGCGTCTCTTAGAACAGAAACTTATAAAATGTGCAAGCTCTGAGCAAGAAGATTCTGTGTTTGGTGCTTTGTCAAGAAATAAGTCGTTACGTTATCTTAAGATTCAACTTCCAACTTTTAATGGAGATATCATAAACTGGTTAAGTTTTTGGGGATAATTTCAATAAAATAATAAAGACCCAAATTTGGATAATCATACTAAAGTTTCTTATCTATCATAAGCCATGGTAAAAGGAATCATTGATGAGGAGTTTATTTAAAGTTTTCCTCCAATTGGGGGGGGGGCGGGTGGACAGCTATGAAAGAGCTATAGCGCAACTTAAAATTAGAAGAGAAGAGCTATTGGTTAAAGTTTATTCGAGAGATCTATTTTCTCTTGTTTTTCAGAGATATTGCAATCGTGCGTTGGAGACCTTCGGCGTAACCAGAGATGAGATAAGTATGTATCCATGTTATTCTCCCTGATAATTGGAAGAAAAAAAATCTGCGAAAGTTCAAATCAATAATGAGTATTTTTTATAAAAATGGATACATCTTCGAAGCAGAGATATGTTCGGTAAAAAGAGGCGTCCGCTTACCACAAAAAAATTTCAGAATTCTAATGCTGAAAACTATTTTAACTAAATTAATATGTTAGTTTAAAAAAGTACAAAATTAAAAATAAAGAATTATATTAATATTTTTTTTTAAAACTGATAAAATAATAATGAATGAAATTCAAAGATACATGTAGAAAAATGAGGCATATGCTTACTACTCCTCATACTAAATTTGTTTTTAGCAAATGAGTAAAAGCAATATATTATGTTTTTATTATTCTGGTTTGCAGCCTTAACACCTTATACGAGTGTAATAGTTGTTAACAGTAACAGATTACTTTTTTAGAAATTACACTTATTATTTTTATGTTAGGACTAATTATTCTAATGTTGGGACAAATTTCTGATTAAATTAAAGCGTGAGTTTAAATCACGACAATACTTTTAATAAAAAATTGATAAATAAATTTTTCGAAAGCAGTTTCATTTTAAAAAGAAAAATTAATTATTTTTATTTTCACTTAATTCAGCAAAAAACTTACTTGGAACGATTATAATTTTAGTATATAATTTCTTTTATGCTTAATATTGAAAGGAAGCAGTATGAATAAAATAGACTATTGATAACTTTAAAATAAATTAGTTGCTAGAAAGCATGTTTCTCGTTATGGGCCCAATAAATTCCAACCACTCCGGTAAAAGTTCTCTTACCGTCGGGTCAACCATGGGAGGGTTTCGAATTTTTTTCTCAGTGTAAGTTTCATTCATAAGGTTTTTTAGAAAGGTTTTTATTGATAAGGTTTTTCACGATTTAAAATTTCCAGGGTACGGAGACTGAATGATAACATGAAGGACTGCAAAACTACTATATTAATAATCTGTTGAACGCTCATAATATTATAAAATTTCGCACCGAATATCGGAAAGCTTAATAGATTATACTAAGGTAGATCATAATACATAAATTACGTTTATAGCTATTGGGTGATTAAAAATAAAACTTTGAGAATTAAAACATTTTTCATATATACCGTCATTGTTGAATTAATTTTAAAATATTCTTCGTTTCACTGAAGCTACACTAATAAAGCTGTTGAAAATTTAAGTAAACTTTAAGTCTAATATCTCTACCTTATTTTTTAAAAGTTTGATGTTAATCATTCTATTTACGAACAGTCAATCCAAATTTCTGTCAGAAATTTTTATTATATTTGATTTAACAAAATCTAAAAACAAGAACACATGTTTTATTTATTTTTTTAATTTCTATAGGTGAACAATAAATTTTCTTAAACCATATCTTGTGAAATATTTGAACAATTTATATAATTTTTATATTGTTATGCATAAATGTTATTATTCATGGTCGGGTAAAAAATTAAATTTTCACCCGATATGCGGATCCGGCAAAATTTTACGTCCTGCTGGTATTTTTGAAAAAAGGGTAAAAAATAGAAGTATATCAAATTCCAAACTTATGCTAATCCGAATCCCAAAAAAATTCTCGAATCTTATTATAAAGAAATATAAATTATATATCAAATATTAAAGAGTTTTTGAATAATATATTTAAGCATTTATGGTAGTATGGCAAGGAATTTTTTATTACCTGATTGAAAATTTCATTCACTGAGAAATAAACAAATAAGAAGTAACAGTTTACTCGCTTCAAGTGCATGAAAAAGGGCGCCCATTTTCAGGACTTGTCAGACGTGAATGCAGAGAAACAGAACCTGTTTTTTGTTTCTTTACATCCACGTTTGGCAAGTCTTCAAAAGGATGCTTAGGGCCGGGATAGCCTGGTTGGTAGGGAGCTGGGCCCATGTCCAAGAGTTCATGGGTTCGATACCAGGCCTGCCGAAGACTCCCATTGTAGCAGATGGTGACTGATGCACGTTAGATCTGTCAAGTTGCAAAGTCCTCCATGTTCCCATAATAAATCATTAACTCTGGGGGTACTCACCCAGGAGTTTCCTTGTCTGCTGGATTGGTTCAAAATTACAAGACTACGGAGTTGAACATTAGTAGTCGTAAATCCAAATTTAGGACGGTTGTTCAACGAGAGATATAAAATAATGCTTATTTTTCATGACCTGACATATTATAAAATAACGAGTCATTTTAGGGGGAAAAGCACAGAAGCCGGTCAAAAAGCCATCTTTTTATGAATTGATCAGCGATTGTGCAGATACTAAAATTTAGAGGACAACGCGAAGATGCAATCAGGGTTATGACGGGATTCGAACTCGTTATCACCACGATACAGATCTTTTGGCGGGTTATACCGCTCGGCCATGTTGGCCTCACATTTATAAAGACTTGTTTTTTTCGCATTTTGGCATTATCCGTGTACTTGTATGTTGTTCATGAACTGAAATGAAGAACTGTTTATTCAGCGTCAATCTGCGAATGCGAAGAAGTTTGTTTATTATTATTCGTATTTTTATTAGGAACGAAGCATAAGGTATAAAATATTGATAGTTTTCTACTTTAAATCTCAGCTTCATTATGGCTGATCCATTGAGTTTTCTTCGGAAGTACAATGTAAATAAAAAGCCAATTAATGAAAGAAATAACCAAATTATTTTTGGGGAATATTCATGGCCTAAAACAGTGAAAACTAACTATCTTGTATGGGGGTAAGTTATCTTTCTTTATAAATTAATTTCATATGGTTTTATATTAAATTCATTTAATTAAAGTACTGTAGAACACGATTATAGTGTTTAACTTTCGATTTCTCTTCTACTGTAAACAGCAACCTTGACACTTCAGTTGTAAAAATTAAAGAATTTAAGTTATAACTATGTAGTTTTTGCTCTTAAATCCGCCTTAAAATTTAATTCTTAAGACTTGGATTGTTAGATTGTTTTTTAATTTTTTATATACTTAGTTGATAAATGTTTATTATTATTTTTAACAAGTAATACGATTTCCTCTAATTGAAGACAATTTAATTACCTATATGTTTGAAGATCCGTTTGATTAGACTCTAAACTTAGTTTCAATTGTGTATAAATTTTTCCCTAATTGATTATTTTGACAATATGGTATAATTACTTAATCTGAGCCATTGGGTGTTTTGAGGTGCTTAAAATATGTTTCATTTAGCATAAGGAATATAAGGATGCAATTAGTGTAACTAATTTATTTAATTTTTGCTTTAATTAGAGTCGAACCTCAATCCATCGTTCCATCATCTTTTGTTTTTCTGTAGGTTTTTTCTTGCTTTAATGGCCTGTCACAGTTACTATCCTTATAATTTTACTCAAACCCGTTTAGATCGTTTTTGAAATTGGCAGATTTCTGCCTCCAGAAACTCTATCGACATTTTCCGAAATATTGAAGTGAATTTGTTTTGTGAAGAAAAACAGTAACTCCTGATGGTTATGAGGATAAAGAAAATGAGGATTTCTTTTGGTACAAGGAAAACACCTCAAACAGCACATTTGACATTCATTTATTAGCTCTAAAAATATTGACAGTTAAGGGTTGTTGGTTTAGAAAACGGTTGCAGAAGATGAAGATAGGCACGGAGGATACCGGTGGAGGCAATGGACTTGGCCTACATCAGGTCTCGACTTGTTTGAAACTACAAGAAACTTTATGTATTCATCGGAACTTACAGGAAATGAACAGCAAATGTTGAAAATTTATTGTTTACGGTTAATAGAAAAGATTGTTTTTAAACCAGAATATCCAAATATATTAATTAAGTAAATATGTTCTATTTGTCCTACTTTTGCATCCTCAAAATTTTTGCATTAAGTTCGTAATTTATTCAATATTATTCAATGTGATTTTTTTAGTTTAATAATTAAATTATTTGTTTTCAAATTCATTACTTCTTTATTATTTTTCACGAATCTTTAAGTCATAGTTTGATATTTTCAATTGTCCCGAATTCGTCGTTTTCCTGCATCTATCGTTAGTAATGTATGGTTCTTTTAGAAACGATTGATCGAGGTTCTACTGTATTTATAATAAAAATTATGAGCAAAAATATAACTATATGTTTGTTAACTGTAGAAAAAAGTTTTTTATTTTTAATAAAAACTAAAAAGCTTACGCACGTTTTCTTTTTCAATATATTTAGATTTCTAACATTTCTCTATAGAAAAATACTGTTTTACACTATAAATTACACATTATTCATTCTTGAAATTACATTTCTTTAATATTTTTTTAAAATAAAATTTGAATAAAAAAGCCTTTAATAGAATATTTTGTTTTAATTCTCAGAATTGTATTGGTATCAATTTTATTTCATGTTAAAAGTGTTTTCACAGAATTTATTGATTTAAATTTTCTATTGCAAAATATGTAGTTTCCAGATTGATTTTGATTAGTGGTCACAAACGGATCATACGAGGGCTACTGTGATTAAATTGTTTTTATTTCTCTTAATTTTTTATTGTTTTTATTTCTTTATTTTTTGTTACATTAAAATTAAATTTTTTTGTTATGGAATTTCTGCATTGTAATTTGTGCCAAAATTATCACCAAGCTTAGGCGACATCCAGGCAATGACCCACAAGAATCTAAAAAAATTATTATAGAATCGAAACTCAAAGGGTATGACTCGTAGCCACTTCAGGCAAACATCTACATATTTTATTTTTGGCACTCTAGTGCCAAATGAAGACATGACTGATCATGATTATGGATTGTAGTTGGCATGACAGATCACAATGTGGAAATATCCCCAATATTTCGAGTCAAGTTATCTTTTTTGATATCAAAGTATAAATAAATTTGAACAGCAACTGTAATTTAGGTTAGGCAGTTATAAATGAGGTAGTAATTTTTCTATATTTTTATCAATATTTAGAAATTTTAAATGAGTAATTCTTATAGTAAAACTGGAAACACCCAAAAATAGGTTCTTTATTTAATTACTTTTATTCATAAATATTTTCAGGTTTTTGCTGTTTATTTTTCCATTGTACCAATTATAGTTATATTTGTATTTTTAGCTCTGGGAAAGAAGGGACTCCAAAGGAATATTACACACTAGAGTGCCTGCTTTTTCTATTAAAGAATGTGACATTGTCTCACCCTGTCTATGTCAGACAAGCTGCTGTAAGTATATAATTTGTACATTAAATAAATGTACTAATTATTTAAATTGATATATTACTTAAAACAACATTATTATGAATATATATATATATATATATAAAATCATTTACTATAATTTAGGCTGAAAACATTCCTGTAGTACGTCGTCCGGATCGTAAAGTAAGTTTTAAATTATTTTACTGATTGTCTTTTTATGCATTGTACAATCTGGATTATTATTTTTAAGTATTTTATAAGGTTTTCATTAACTTAATTTAAATTGTTGTGATTTCCTTGAGTATTTAATAATTTTGATTAGTGTGAAGAAATAAGTTATTACAGTCAGCTAATGGGTAATTTTTCTTCAGGAATTATTGGCATACTTAAATGGAGATACTAGTACTGTTGCTAGCATTGATAAAAGTGCACCCATTGAAATCCCCACAACAGGTAAAGTAATAGCTAAAAATTTGTTTGAAAAATTGAGTAACATAATCTTTATTCTCTTATTCACCTTCAAATTATTATAAATTTTAGTGCGTTTATTTACTTTATTTTCTAGGTTTCACATGTTTAAAGACTTTACAAGACATTTAAAGATTTCACATATTTAAAGACTTAAATTTGTTTTAGAAATTTGTTGCACTAATTTTATTGTTCTGTACGTAGGTTAGATTGTAATTTTAAAATTTTTTAAATTAAAAAAACTGAAATTGTCTGGTACAAAAAGTTTTAAAAATTAAATATTGAAATTTCCAATTTACTTGTTGTGCTTTTTTTGGTGTTTTAGAATTGATTTTATTTATAATTTTATAATTTATCGATAATTAAATTTTAATATAATATTTTGTTAGTTCTTACTTTCTCTATTTTCCTGATTTATTTCATCATCTCAGCATTTAAATCTGTTTGTTGAACTTATTTGCTAATGTAATTTTTTGCTTTTTTTTTTTTAATTTTATTAACTACTAATCTTCAATCATTATGGGGTTGAGGACCTTATTAGTTTTAAGTTCTAATAAATAGCCATAAATAATTTTGATGCATACCATATCATGAATTATGTAATTGTAAAATTCGATTCTTTTCCTTCTTAAGTTTGTCTACCACATTAAAATTTTGGTTCACTAAATGAATACCTAAGTGGTCCTGTTGGACCACTAAGTTTTCATTGCTGGTGTGAACCCTAAATATTAATATAATTTGTAATTTGCATATTTACTTCATTTTTTATGTTTCACCCATGTGTATATTTTCAAATTTAATATATATATTTTTCTAATGTTTTAAAATAGTTTTTCTCTGCAAAATTTCTAACAATATTAATATTTATAGACAGTTTAGGCGATGATTTTCTAGAGTCTCTAATAAATCCTTGAAAGCTGTATTAAGTTTAATAGATAACTATTTGACACTGTTTAGGACACTCTGGCTTAATCACATTTACATAATATGTTAAAATGCTAATATGTGATTTTTTAAATTTTTTTAATTAAGCTTATTTTATTGCTAAATTATTTATGTTGCTTTCCTGAGAACTTGATTTGAAAGTACGATTTTGGCAGTATGCAATAAAATTATTACACAAAGCATCCTTAAAAACATAAAACTTGAGCATCTAACTAGCATAAGTATAAAAGTTACTTTATTCAAGTATATGAAAATATCAACATTCAATATTATTAACAATACAGATAAAATGTGGTTTCATTATAGCTTTGTATCATTTATCGAAAATATATTTTCAGGATTTTTTATTTTATTAAATTTGGCCCAAATGTTACTGAAATATTTGTATAGCTCTGAAAATGCTTTATTTAAAGAATAAAATTGTATCAAAGTTAAAAAACAAGTGAACTTATATTGCATAGTTGAATGTTATTTATATATATTTTTTTTTCTAGTTAAACATGTTTATGAGGAACAGAATCAGCAAGAAGTTGTCAAAAAGCCTAGACTTGAGGTAATGTTAACGAAATTTCACAGAAATGTGTTTTTTCATTTTTAAGTTGATGTTACTCATAATTATTTTCAATAATCAGTTCTTTGACGATTTGTTATTAAAAGAAAATGGTTTGATCATTAAGCAGAGCTACTGAAATTTATTGCTTGTTAATCCTTTATTCAGTTGTATAGATTATCATGATTTATTTTTTGAACATTCACAAATGTCATTTATAGTAGCTAAACCTAGTTAATCCAGAATATTTTTTACAAAGTTTAAAAAATTAAGGGACTTCTAATAATGGTGTGGGTGAAGGTTTCAAATGGCCTAATTTGCTTATTATTTTCCAAATGTGGTTCATATGTTATAACATGGATTTCAAATAACCTCTAATAACAATGGTAATAGGAAGTAAATTATGTGCAGAAATATATCTCATAAAATACTCAACAATCACTTCAGGTTTTAGATAAAGTAGTTGAAATCCATATTTCTTGTGTATAAAGTAAAATGTGTTTTTATAATTAAGATGTTTTAAGCCTATGTATTCTTGAATAGAAGTTTCACTCTTGAAATTAGAGTATTTAATATAATAACAAACTGATTAGTTTTTTGTGTATGAAACATATATATATATATATATATATTGTTTTGGAAGGCCTTTCTATTTTTCATTTCACATTAGATTTTTTTTAAAATTAATATTAATTTGTTATACTTTGGAAACCTGATTTTTATGTTTTCCCTCAGACTGGCATTTAACAACGCATGAAAACGTAAATATTGTGCTAAAAAAATATAATAATTTTTTTAAAAATTGACACGAGTTAAAATTTGTTTTTAGATGCAATTTGAGCAACATCCCTCTTAATATTTACTATTGTGTAAATTTACTTTTCAGTTTGTACTAGAGAAACGTTTTGTCTCAGAGTTTTTATGCTTTGAAACTTTTAATTAGTTGTGGGTATATCCTGTGGGTATAATGTGGGCATTAAAACAGATATTGAATTAATTGAACAGTAATGGGATGTGTGTTGCAGTCGATATACATGTCATCAACTTCGGAAGATCTTCATTCATGCAATATTATTCCAAAGGGTCAATGTTCCCAGTGAATACAGAGGAGCCTGCTTTATTAAACCCATTTCTAAACCCATTCAGGGTTCCCAGAACTTTTCTTTTTGCTTTAGAAGCATCTTTCAGGCTACTGTAATCAAGAAAAAGAAATGATTATCTAGCCAGTTGTTTTGTGTAGCAATTTTTAATTGATTAGAGGATTCCAAGGTTGCAGTTTGCTGGAAAAAATTCCACTCACAACTTTTACTAATCTCCCATACTTCCTTTAACTACCTTTCCCGTACTTTGCCCACCACTCTTTTGATTTTGACTCAGGGGGAAATCCCCTACCTCAGACAGAAGGACAATCAGGTAGAATGCAAAGAGTGTCTGAACAGTTTCAAACGGCTATTAAACAAGTCTCTCTCTCTTTTTTTTTTTTAAAAGGGGAAAGAAAGAACTCGGAAAAAACTTACATCAGATTTGTTGAGGAAAAATGAAATTGATCTGTTAGAAAAACGAGTAATGCAGGATTTTTTTAAAAAGGGTAGTGTAAATTCTGGGATATTTTAATTATCGATGTAGGCAATTTTCACAGATCAGCAAAACATGTCGTAAGAAACGGGATAACGTTCAAAGTGGACAACATATAAGTTTATATCATTCCACTGTATATTGTTTTATGAAAATTATTTAGAACTTCTTCCTACAAAAAAGAAAATATTCTCGATTTTTTTTATTAAAAATACATATTTGTTGTTAAGAATTTAAGTTTTCTTACTTTTTCTAGCTATAAATTTTACATCAATTTTATTTGCCTGATAAGTTTATTTTAAAAGCCCTTTATTAAAGGCGGTTTACAACAATGATTGCTGTATTAAGATTCATAAAATAAAAATGTCTTGTTTTTTAGTGTGAATATTGGAACTCACGCAAGAGGCTCATTACATTTTAAATATCATTCAATATATGTGTGTTAGAGTGTGTATATGCATTTCTATGACGTTTCTAGAAGGTAATGTTTATCAATTTGTGTAGGAAGGTGAAGTACAAAGAGCTAAAGATCAGCTGGCTGCAAGGCTTGCTTCACCCAAAGAAGCATCTGTAACTACCGAACACATACGGTGGGTTATTACAAATGAAATATTTTACCTGTACTTTCAATGGTTATTTTTTCATCTGTACTATTTCTTATTTTAATAGTGTCACTCTACTTATTCCATATTTAAGTGCTACTAGCCTTTGTTTTTATTATTCTACAGCTTTATTCCAAGTTTCTTGCGATATTTTATTCATGTAACAACATTTTTATTTGATTATTTCTTTCACAAGATTTATCTTGTGAATAAAAGAAGCAAAATTTGATATATAGTTAATTTAAAATTAATATTTGGTTTAGTTAGTTTGAACCAAAATTGTTTTTGAAATCATTTTATTATTTAATATATGATTTTAAAATGATTGTATTGATGAGATGAAGTATTTAAAGTAATTAAAATTTAGTATCACACAATTGTTAAGTAAGTAGAAAACTTATGTATATGTATAATGGATCCTTCTTTTCCTTAGTAGGTAACCAATCCTGTTTAGGAAAAAATAAATTCCCAGAAGTAAAGAAAGTTTTTTGGTTTTATTCAGTACAAAGTTTCAAATTAACGATATGAATATTTAAACCAAGTTCAGAACAAAATTTTTTATGCTATCGTGTTCCGGTTGCTTAGGTTATATGTGCTTAGGTCATATTAATAAGTTTTCGGGCAAATCAGTGGTTTCAATTATTTAATATTTAAAATTATTGTTAAATTTAAAAGCTCTCCAGTAATTTTTTAAGCAACATTGCTAGCATTTATGTTTAGTTTTCTGTTAAATTTGAATTGATTGACCCTTTAAAATTTAAAATACTCTGTTATTATTTGCTAAAAATTTACTTTGTTTATTGTTTTAATTTTGTAAAAGTTATTTCTGCAAAGTTACTGAATAATATGCCTGTTAATCTGGTTTTATTTTTAAATTGTTAGATGCTATAGAAAATTGTTGTGGTTATAAAAACTAAGCATTGAAAGTTAATTTGAAATTAGAAAATTTTTCTCTGTTAGTTGCAAACAATTGGTTAATTTTAGTGAAAGTTTATTTTATAGTTGACTTCTTTTGAATTGATCTTATTATTTAAATATTTTATTTTTATAATGTCAGATGTAATTTTTGTTGGATTGGTTGCTGTTATAAAGGCTAGATGTCTTTCGTATGGATACTAAGAGTTAGAATTATGGTTTATAATTTATTTGGAATTATGAAACATTCCTCTTGATTGCAAAGTAATACATCTATTTTTTTTTCATATGTTTCTTCCATAATTGGCAGGTCAAGAGCTGATATTAAAATTTTTTTTAAATTCTTTCTGTAGGTCTTTATCAGATGCTATGTCTGTGGAAATGATTGCTGCTATTAAAGCTAAGCGTCTTGCTAAAAAGCGTTCTACTATTAATATTGATGATGAAGTGCCTGCCAATTATACTGACATTCAAAGAATTTTGGATTATGATGTAGATGTAACTAGAGATATTATTAGTCGAGAAAGACAATGGAGAACAAGAACTACTATTCTTCAAAGCACTGGGAAAGTGAGTAATAATATTTTAATACCAAATTAATTTTTGCTGAATAAGTCTAGTGAATTGTTTAAACTGTTTTTCTTTTTCTATATTATTGTGATGAATTGTTGAAAACTTAAATTTTTCTTACTTCATTTTATGAGTAAAATTGAAAAGATTTTCTTAGTTTTTATTACTTTTTTATGTTTTTAATTTTTATTATTTTTCATTTAAAGAAATATTATTTCTTTTTTGCTGTACTGTGATTTTATACCATTTTGAGTCATTATCATATGGAAATTGCCCTTGAACCATTTTTAAACCTGGGCAATTTTAACCTGGGCAAATTTCTTTGTTTATTAAATTTGAAACAAACTGGAAAATAAATTTATTAGTTACCTGATGTTCAATTATAAATTCCAAAATTATATTTCATTAATTGTTACAAATATTTATGACCAATTTAATAGTGAATGATTTAACATTAAAAATGACATTCAATACTCACCTAAAATAATATTAAGTATGTTTCTATAGAGAATCTCAATTCCCATCTGATATGCATTTCCTCTATTAAGATCCTAAATAAAGGTATCTTTTATAAGGCAAATCCAAACACTATAAAAGAGCTTTAGCACTTTATAGCACTTTATACTTAACTGAAGTCTAATGTTAGTACATAAACTTTTTAATTCTATGTTGTTACTTACATGAATAAATTCTCACAATTGTTTAAAACTTATGTTTGCAAGAAAGGACAGATAAAAATAATTTATTAAAATTTGAAATTTTCATTTTGTAGGGGTTAAAATATTTCTTTAAAATTACTAGCATAGCTGCCAAAAAATGGATTTTTCAGTAAACTTCTAAATATTGCTAATAATTTTTTGTATATATTACAAAAGTCCCAAAAATTACGAAAATTTCAGAAAAAAGCAACCCTTTTTTGTTAAAATCAGTATCACTGCTAAATAAGAGAGTGGTTCTCAATTTATATAATGAAATAGAGCCTGCAGTAATTTATTTAAAACTTTTCCATTTTAGATGTTCTAAGATTTTATGAATTTTAAATTTTTTTTAAAAAATCCGGAAGGTTTTATATTTAAATCAATTAAAAGATTATGTTTAGAACTATCTTTTAACAGGCAGCTGATGAAGTTTTTAAATTACTTTTATTGTTACATATGAATAGGATGCTGAATAGATCTGTTAATTTTCTTGTTTTTTTTTGTATAATCAAGATGCAAAAAGTAAGTTTTAATAGCACCAAAGCACCTGGAATTTTTTTTTGAAGAAAATATATAAGAAAAATGTAGGATTGACTTGAGGTAGAGCAATTTTTTATCAATATAAATAAACCTGTTTTTATTATTTCATATAGTCATTCACATTTTTAAAAAAAAACTATTTTTCTTCTGAAATAATTTTTATAATTTTTCTTTTGTTTTATTGTGTTTAAATAGAAAGAATTCATATTTTCATTGAATGTTCTGAAAGAAACAGTTTTATCAATTTAATTTAATTGTTGTTTGTAAACAGTGTTTCTGAGAAAAAAGTTATATTAAGATATATGGATAAGATATATATTTATTTACCATTACGCTTTTAAAGAACAAAGCAAGAATGAACTTTTTACTCTATTTCATATTAATAATCATCAAGTTTACTGGCTCTTATAACTTTAACTTAATTAATGTTATCAAATTGAATCTTTTAGAAGGTTTATTTTATGAAGTTGATTAACATGAGTTTTTTTAAAGCTTTCAGATGAGTTAAACTTTTTAATTAATCTGTTATGTACCTAAAAGATGGTTTAAGCAACATCTTAAATCAATTTCAGTTTTTTTTTATTGATTGAATTACAGACTATTGTATTTTGTGAATAATTTCTCAAGTTGCACTTTCTTTATTTTTAGAATTTCCAGAAAAGCCTTTTCCCTGTTCTTCAGAGCATTAAAGCTCGAGAAGAAGGTGGTCATAAATTAAAGGTTGAAACTGTCCAAACACCAAGGGTATGGTTATTATGATTGTTTAAAATTAAAAAGTTAATTTATCGATTAATATGTATTAATCTCTAGCTGTTTTTTTTCTTTCTTCAGGCTACTCCTGTTCGACCAACCACACAGCCAGTTGTGTATAACAGATACGATCAGGAAAGATTTAGAAGCAAAGAAGGTAAGACTTTTCACTTTAATCTTTATTTTTAAAGGATAAAATGCTAGTTTTTTTAAAGATGTATTTGTACTACATATAAATATTAATGTACTTTGTGTAATTTCATTACACACCCGAGTAAGAAAAAAAAAAAAAAACTTAGACACATCCCTTTGGCAGACAGAATCTTTTGGTGTGCAGAACTATTCTTTTAATCTAAGCATCATGTTTGTTCATGTGGAAGATTTAACATTTGAGTAACATTGTGAAATTTTGGCTTGTGCCTTTACTTTTTCACTCTTTCTGCGGCATTGTCAAAGGCTAAAGCTCCCTATAAGTCATTAATTTAATTTTAAAATTCTATATAAGTATCTAATTATAGGTTGAATGACTTATGTATGACTCGCAAGTGTATATTGTAATATGTACTCAATGCATTCATATGTATAACTCATATGTATGCATTCTTTGAATCATAGCATGTATGTAGGAATCTTATGCTATGATTCAACGAATGCATTTAGTAATGAAGCAGTGAAGTGTTATGAATAATGAAACTAGTGAGCAATATGCATATTCTTGGATAAAGTTTATGTGTAGAATCATTGATCAAAAAGTTGATTTTATCTTTTTTGTTTGAAAAAATATACTTCATATTCTAATATTTTCTCTAGCTTTTCTGACTGTGAATTATTAAGACTTATGTTGAAACTATATTTACTGAAAGAGCATATTTATATTTCTTTTAAGCAATATTTTATTTTTATTTAAAAGATACCAAAAACATTGTAATTGCTGAGAAACAAAGTTAAGAACTTCCTAGTTGAGTACATTGTTGCCAAACTTCACTATGTGTTTTGCTCTTAGATAAAGTATAAGTGTAAAATCATTATCATGACTTTTTTGTCACGCCTTCTATTTTGTGCCTTATGTAATTCTTACTGAAATTATTTATTCTTAAGATTATTTTTAATTCAAAAAATCATAATATGTTAAACAAATAAGGTTAAAATAATGTGATTTAGAAAAAAACCCCCAAATTTAATGCTATTAAGTTTATCATTTATATTGATGGCGTTTTTATGATAATCTAATTTATAATTTATTTTTAAGAAACTGAGGGTTTCAAGATTGATACTATGGGGACTTATCATGGTATGACACTTAAATCTGTAACGGAGGGAAGTCAACCTAAACGCCCTGTTACTCCAGTGCAACCAGTAGAAAAGCCTCTTCCAGTCACAAGCTCTTCTCGTCAACCAACCAAAAGAGGTAGGTAACTCTTTTCATGTCCATTTGATATATCCCTGTAAAACATATAATCTAATTCAGCATTTATATAACATTCTGTAGAAGAGCCGAAAATAAAGTAAATTTTAAAATATGAGATGAATGCATGAACCTTGTCTAGAATGATTTTGGATTTTACTAAATCTTCAGACTATTATTGTTTGTTTCAATATTTTTGTTTCACCTGGAGGAAAAATGCTTTTTTTCCCCATCCCATTTTAAAATATCACCATGAAAGAAAGTAATGTGACATTATTTTAAAAACTAAGCAATCTTTTTCAAAATTATACTTTCATGCTGCTTTTCATTGCATTATGCCTAAAGTTAAAAAAGATCAGACATTGTCAGGGGTCTGTTTAGAAGAAATTTGGGTCCGTTAATGAACCCTTCACAAAATATCTTTTCATAAAAACGGACACTTCGCAAAATATTTTAACTTAAAAACAGATCCTTCACAAAATAATTCATCTTTATAATCGAACCCTTCACAAATTTGTTTATCTTCATTATTGTTTTGTTAATCGAATTAACCTTTCCCAGAAAGGGGGGGGGAGACAGATGTAAACGAATTAAGTTTTGTCTTTGGCAGACGCTTCTTCCTTTATTCGTCTGAAATGAATATTCTGCTGCAGCAGTATTGGCTAAATACCAAATATTTGTTTGTTGCATTGCTAATTTAGTAGCAGCAATTGCTGCTTATTTTTTAAAATTTAATTTTTTTAAACTATAATTTTACAGTGTTGAGCACAATCTTGTATGTCTTTACAATTTAAAAACTCCTTGAAAAAGTTTTTTGCAATAACAGGACCCTATTTGCACAAATTGACAAAAGCATGACCCTGGTTGAAAGAATTTGATTTAACGTTTATTTTATATTCACAAATTATGAGTACTTTTTTCACAATTTTACAAAACGAACCTTTCGCAAAATGTCTGGACGGACCCTTGATTGTGTAGAGTAATCATGCACAAAATAGCTTGCTGAATGATCATGCATAATCTAGCTCAATGTATGATGAATGAAAATATTTTGTATTTTAGTTTCCAAAACTCCTATTATTATAATTCCTGCTGCCACTACTTCCCTCATCACGATGTACAATGCTAAAGATCTGTTGCAAGATTTAAAGTAAGTTGTTTTATTGTTATAATACTTAAATAATTGTTTTTTAATAATATATTCTACTTTCAGCAACTCATTCTTATACAATGTTGCTTTAGATTATTTGACCGTGACAGGAGTTGCATACACACGCTTATTGATGAGGCCAGTGGGTTTTTTTGCTGTTAAGTCTAAATCAATGAAATCACTGAAATATGAATGCATTCTATAATGTACTCCAAAGTAGATAAACAGTATATATTTTTTATTTAAATACAATATTTACTTAGGTCTTATTTTTGTTTAACCCCTTCCTTCTCGCTCCCGTGAGAATGACAGGGTGAGGTTTCGCCCTCTTCCGGGCGGGAGTGTTCAGTAGTAACGCAGTTATGACCGTTTTCTTAAAAATTAACCGATCCTTAAGGGTTTAAATATACTTTTACAAAATTTCTGCTATTTTGAGTCCAGTTAAACCTTTTCAATGGTAAAACAGATAAAATTGGCACCTACAAGATCTGACTATCATTTGAGAACTAGTCAAGAAATTCAAATATGCAACACTCTAGCAAAAATATCTTACTATAAATTGTCCACTTACTATAAATAAAAACCCCATGCTTGTTTTAAAGCATACAATTTGGTAACATTCCTCTTATGTTTATATGATCAAAATCCACGTGAGTCATCTGTCTCTCATTTCTAGTAGAAGATCAAATCTGCATGTGTCTCAAAGCCTATGGACATACAATGTCATCTTGTGCCAAATATTATTGTTTTTAAAATGTCCCAGAGCACTGTCATTAATGTGTGATGGCCAGAAGAGAACAAGAAATCGATATGACAAGCATATATGTTAACAGGTGGCTAAGAGCGTTTCATGCCAGCATGTATACATGACATTCAGCATTAAAGGTTAAGGGTAATAACAAAGCATAATGTGAGTGCTTTTAACTCAAGGCAATGCTTTTAACTCAAGGCAATGCTTTTATTTAAAACTATATGTATTTCCTTGCTGTAACTTTTCATGTATTAAAAATTAGATTAGAAAAAAAAATGATAATCACTAAATAATGGTTGTATTGATATTGATATTTTGTGACATTGTCATAATCAGGAATTGAAAATTTTACTCTTCAGTTATGAATAGCTGTTAGGTATTAACAACAGTCATGAAATAGCGTATTATTCACTAAAAGTGCTTTTTCTATGAGGACTAAGTCTTCAAAGAAAAGCTTTAATAGCTTGACAAAACCTATCATTTACAATTCATAAAATGCATTTGTGTAATGTGTTTAGATAACTCTCAAATAAAATTATGAAGAATTTTCTTGTGCAGGACAGAACACAGGCTAATTCAAAATTTTCAACTTAATCCTAATTTTTGTAAAAAGTTCTAGTAAAATTTTATTCCTGTAAAAAGATTTTAGCGAAATTTTATTTTGTGAATAATTTTTCTTATTTAACATAGCACTTACTATTTACAATTAAGACAATTACATATTTAAAATTAACTCAAATTTACATTGCTTTACAATACTTATAATTTGATTATTTTTTTTTGCAATTAAGCAAATAAATTTTTTGACAGCATACGATCATAAATGCTGTGTAGGTGGGGAAGGGTTTAAAAAATTTCTAAATGTTTTTCTTGCGATTTGCAAAATTTTTAAATCTTAGTTATTTGGATTTTGAATCTGTGACAGCTTTTCAGGGCCATTAAACGAAAATTTAAAGATTTTGGAGAAAGATTGCTCCTAAATTTAGATCATACCAAATTCATCCAGAGCATTTTTTTTACAGAAATTGTTGATGTGGGCATCATTACATTTAGGGTTAATAACAACAAAAATACGAAATGTGATGCATGATTTTTAAATCTCGCAAATGCGAATCCAGATGCTTGATTTTTGCAAATGCGAATCGAGATGCTTGATTTTTAAGTCAGGTGAATACGATTCGCAATGTGTGATTTTTGATTTTGAAAACCTGTAAATATTGTCAATAGGAAATGCAGTGCATGATTTTTAGAGAGCGTAAATGCACATTGCGATGTGTAGTTGATAAATTGCGAGAAGAACCATAACATGAATTTTAAATCTCGTGATTAGGACTCGCAACGAATGATTTTTAAATCTTGTAAATACGAATCGAGATGTGAAATTTTTAAATCACGTGAATACGAATAAGAACAGGTTGAGGTGCATGTCATTAAACTTGCACATGTTCATTGTACGATTCTGAAATATGCACACATATTGAATAATTTTTCTGCAAAAGGGCCATGTGCTTAATAAATATTTGCAAATGCTTTTATTCTTTTTGAGAATGTGTCAATTTTGTTAGGATTATTACAATTTTTGTGAAAGTACCAATAAATGGTAATAAATTTTTTCTTTATTAGGCTCTGTATTATAACTATTTAAAATGTTATATTATTTATTAGATATTTTAAAATTTAAATGAATTCAAAATGTCTTAGCTATATTTTTTTTAAAAGAAGAATTTATAATAAATTAAGTTTTTAAATTATTTTAGATACGTTGATACAAATGAGAAAAAGATGCAGGGCTGTAAGAGAGAAAATGAAGTTCTAATTCAAAGAAGGAAAGAAGGTGGCTTATCTGTCCCTTATCGAGTGATTGACAACCCATCTAAATTGGTAGATGATGAATGGTATGCTTGCATAAATATTCTATTAGAAGTTCTGCTAAATTGTTTTTAACTTGTGTTGCACTGTTGAGACTTACTATGAGCAACTTAACTTAAAAATGCAAGCAAAATGTCCTTAGTTTTTTATTTGAAAAAACATTTTTTTTCGCCACATGTTGCTCAATTAACACTGTTCAATCTTTGGGGGTAAAAAAAACTTCCAACCAAGGGCGCCGGCAGCGGTGTGCACTTCCCCCTCCCCCTCCTGTTTTTTTTTAAACAATTAAAGTGATACAGAAAAAAATTTTTGTTAGAAATTTTTTTTTTATCAAAAATATTTTTATTCAGAAACAAATAAGTAAGTAATTATTGATACATAACAATTAAAAAATTATTTAATCAAACAAGAATTGTAATCATTTTGTTAGCTGTCCAAATCTATTTATAACTTTTTCAATGAATTCTGAGTCATCTTTGATTCTTTTCTTATGCACAAACTACTCAATCTCTCGTGAGACATTGTAGACCGATTCCATGTTTTGATGAATCGCACATTGTACTAAAAGTGCGTTAAATTGTGCACGCAGTAGCTGGAAGAGTTAGGTCGATTTCGATTGCCTCCGCTGGAGCTGTATAAAACGGTATGGCCTGAATAACTAAATCGATGTATTCGAGGGATTCATAAGAATTTTCTCTATTGAAACAGACGAAAAAAATTAACAGATAAAAGTATATGTAATAACAAAACAAAATGTAATAACAGAATATTTTTTATTTTTTTTTGCGGGGGGAGGAGGGGTTAGTTTGTTAGAGGGTTGCACTCCCTGTTATATTATTCTGACGGTGCAATTGCCTCCAACACATGCTATATTCACTTCATGTTGCCTAATCTGATTTTCATGTTTTCTATCCCAACTGAACAACTTGAATAGTAAAAAAAATTTTTGTAGGAAAAAAATAAAAATTGTCCTTTAATCTTTATTTGAAAATAAAACATTGCATAGAGAAGCAGTTTAGAAAATGGTGTAATATACATTATTTGCTGAATTGATAGTATTTCCTATAAAAATATATTTAATTTAGTTTTAAATGAAATAACATTTGACATTGATTCAAGATGGCCTTGCGAAAGGAGTATGTCCAGTCTGATATTCTAGTTCAAAAGAGTCACAAAATTCTGGACGCTAAATATTTTTGCTACCTGTAAACTTGACTGAAGGTACTTCTCTGGAAAGGAGACACTTATTTCGTTTTTAAATGAAGACCAATCAACCAATGTGTTTAGTACAAAAGTATCTGTAATTCTTGTCGAATTACGAAAATGTTTTAATATCTGTTAATAATATGTTTTTATTTATGTTACTACTTATGGATGAAAAGAAAATACTTTTCTCTTAATATTTTCGTATGCAAGTTTCCTTAAAAATATAATGGGAAGATAATTTGAACGTTACTCATGGCTAGAAATTAGGAAAACTCTCTTGGTCGTCCAAAGGAGCTGTAACTAAAAGATATTGCTAGTCTGATATTCATTGATCCATTTTTATGTCTGTAGTAGATTTTTTTAATAAATAAGTTAAGTGGATTTTAATGAAAAATTACAATCCAACAAATACAAATGTGTTATGTTATAATCACGTTAAAATGTATTGTTTTGTGACAAAAACATTTTACCGTAATTAAAAACAGCATACTATATCTTTACAGTGATTGCTGGTTTGGACAGGGTGTGTAGAGTTTTTAAAAAGTGCTCTTTTTCATAGGGTGTTTTTAAAAAGTGCTTAATTTTCCCTTTTTCAAAATTAGATTTTTTCTTTACAATGTTGATTTTCGTTTCGAATTATGCAAAAAGACACAGTTCACATTGTTCTATTGAACGTTTTCATACTTAATTCAACCCCAATCTATTTCGGCGTATAGTCAGTCCGCAGCGAACGAAAATGCCATTAGTTTTACATGATTCAAAATTTCATGATTTTTGACAAATGTCAAAAACAATGCCAAAAGTTTTTATAACGGTTAAAACAAGATAAAACCGTCAATAGTCAAAAGCTTTCCAACCCTGCCTAATTATATTTTTTTAAAGTGCTTAAAAATATATTTTGAGTGCTTATTTTTTCTTGAATAATATGGCTACGCACCCTGTTTAGAGGACAACTGATAATTATCTATTTTATGAGTAAAATTTTAGTGGTTTCAGACCCATATTATTCCTCTTTACTCTAGGGTGTCTATGATAGCTTTCCATTTCGCTTCATTTGTGTGTTAATAGATCTCCCTTAATTTCAAGCCCTGTTATTTAATGTTGATATTCAAATTATAAATATAATTTATGCTATTTAAATTATAAATAAAATGAAAATATTCTTCTAGGGACCGAGTTGTTGCTGTGTTTGTGCAAGGTCCAGCATGGCAATTCAAAGGATGGCCATGGAATGGCAACCCAGTGGAAATATTTACGAAAAGTATAATTTTCTTAATTATATAGATATATATTTCGTATATTATATATATCCATGTGTATGTGTATATATATATAGGTGTCTTAAAATCTTAATACATTATATATATATGTATATTGAAAAAAACTATGTTACCTTTTGATAATTATTTCTCACTTTTCAGAAAGATTCTGTTATTTAATGTTAACCTACTCAACATATTAAATTTTTGGTACTGAATCATAAATAATGACCTAAAGATAAAATAATGAAATTTTTTTCTCTTTATATGTTTTCTTGAAAATAACAAAGGCTGTTGTCTGGTTAGAAATAATTTTGTTAACAAATATATATTTTTTATAGGAAAAAATAATTTTGTACATTATCACTTGGTTATCTTTCTCGGTAATAAGAGAGAATTCTTGCGTTAGTTTACAGTTTATTTTATGTCTTTTTCTTGCAAATGTTTTTTGTGGTTTCCATTTCATATCTCACTTTTCGTTATATTTTCGTATAAAGTTTTTTGTGTTTTCCATTTGATATCTATAGCTCTGTTAGATGCACAACATACTACTAACATAACATAACTACTAATAAACATAACTACTAACATACTACTGCATAAATTGATCTCAATTTTTGTATAAAGAATTACCATTTTAATCTAAGTGTAGAGTATTGAAAGTCTTGCTGCCTTGCGAAATTTTGTTTGTAATGTAAATTTTCTTGTTTTTGTTTTCTACTTACTTCTGTAAGCCTCATGCTATACTTTGTGGTGCATGAGGAGTTTTCAGTCATTTAAATAACAAATCTAAGTGAAGAAAATAGCACATACTTAGTTTAATTTTATCATAGTTGATATGTTTAATGTTGTAAATTGAGGACATGACCATTGTAAGTTTTTCAAATAAAGAAAAATATTTAATTGGATAATTAATTGTTCAACATATTTTTTTTTTACTATCTCCAAGTTTAAATTTTTTCTTCTTTTTTTGATTCTTCATTCATTTAATGCTAATTAATTTTGAACTTATTTATAAAAATTTGAACAAAAATATATTTTCTCAGAGACAGTTTTAAAATTATTTTTCAATTTTTTTTGCCATTAGAAAATTATGAAAATAAATTTATAACTCAAGTTTAGTACAACAGCTTCTTTTCAGTTATACTAGCTTCTATAAATTTTGTTTATTCTTTCAATGTCCCAACTAAATTAACATTTTAAATTTATTAATATTAACTTTTAATTTTAAATGTAAAGAAGGGTAACTAAAATATGTTAAAAACTGTTATCTTTCAGTTAAAGCATTTCACTTGAAATGGATTGAGATGAAATTGGATGCCAATGTTGGAAAGTGGGCTGTTCATGTGATTGAACTTAACAGAAATAAACGACATTTGGATAGAGCAAATCTATTGAAGTTCTGGGAAATTCTTGACAAGTAAGTACTATTTTGAAATATTGCTCTGTCATTTTACATAATTATAGTTATTGCATAATTATAATTATAGTTCACTACACTACTTATATGATAATAGTAATTATATTTAATTCAGTTCAGTGTACTACTGTTAATTATCACAAAAATTTTTTTTTTAGACTATGTTAAATTGTATAATTTAATACAAAACCTTATGAAATCTTAAATTAATTGATGCACGAACTTGAAAGAAAAAAATATGCTTAAGGATATAACATTTAAAAAATTCAACTTTAAAATATGACATCTATATTTCTATGTGACATCTACACAATCTAAGAACAGTATGACAATTTTAACATCATAGCCAATATTCAAAACTGAAAAAAAGAATTTTCCCTTGCAGCAGATTATTTAGTAAAATTGTCCTATATATTAGATTCTTTGATTGCATTTTTTTCAGAAATTATTTCCTCACAAGTCATTTGTATTTAGAAGTGAGTGATTAACAGAGTTATCCTAGTTAGTATTTAAATTTCGGTAAATAGTTTTTGACAGTCTGAAATTAAATAAAAGTAAACTCCGGTCACATTGGCTGCTAATGCTGCGAGGCATGGTAATTTCTTTTATGTGCATTCTAATTTTACATACAAAACTTTAAGATAGCGGTGCACAACGTTTTTGAGTGAAAGGCCACTTGCGCAGCAGGATGAATAACAGTGCCACACACATATTTAAATACATTAGTGGCAAATATGATAATTTTTATTATAAACATTAGTGTTCTAAACACTAATTTTTTTATCAGTAAAATTGAAAATATACTTATAGAAAAGTAAATTATTTTAATTATTAGAGTTTATTAAAAAATTTTATCAAATTGATATCTTAAATACATAAGTTGAAAGTACAAAGAAAACAAGAAAAAATAATAAATAAAATGCTTTTTAAAAATATATAAAAAATAAAAAGCTAGAAAAGTAAATAAGGAAAGGATATGTCATCAGCTTACACGACTATATCTGAAAAAAAAAAGAGAGTGTTTTCTAACATTGTATTAATATAGCCAAAGCAAAATCTATCAATACAATTGTGTAACTTTTTTTGTCTCTTTATTGAGTTATATATATTGGGGAAAAGAAAATTTGTTTTGTATTTTTTTATTTATTATATCACGTAATACAGAAGTTCATTTTAAAATAAATATATATTTATTAACATTATAGATTTACAGTAGAATCTGCAAATTAAGCATGTTGAAAAGTGATGTCACAACTATATGATTCAAAATGTTAGAAATTTTGTTCAGAAGTTTCCACAGATTGTGCACCCCTTCTTTAAGAGTGATATAAAGCCCACAAAAAAATGAAATAATTACATTAGTTTAAAATATACAAATATTTTATGTATGTCTACTGAATTAGTAAAAACAACTGCAAATATTCTGTTTTGACATAAATATTCAATTATAATATGTTGAGATTTGCCCTATGTTATAAACTAAATTCCTTGTTTTAAATGTATCTGCATCTGTTCTCACTGCTTACTTATTTGGATACTTTGTGATTGGTAAAAATGCTCTAGTATTAATAGGGATTTTTTCTTTTACAGCTACATGATAAAGCACAAGCCGAACCTTCGATTTTAAATTTGTAAATAGTTCTGCTGAATAGTCTACAAAATAGATTTTTAAAGAATTACCAGATACTTCTGCATACTTGCATATTGATGTATTATTATACTGTATATATTTGTTTTCTTGAATTTGAATAAATGTTTTATTGTTTAAAAAGTTTGTAGTATTTTTAAATTTGAAATATTTGGCTTATTTACATCCAAAGGCATTGATCCTCCAGTCTACTAACATAAGAGCCTCCATTTATTAGTTTGAATGTTTAAGTCACCATGTGATCCTGCCTCAATAAGGTCTTAAGGAGTAGACTAGTACTTCACTTAAACATTACTGTAAATCCATAATGATTATTCTGAGATATCTGCCATGATCATGCATCTTTGGCAGACATTAGAACTTTTTAGGAATGACTGGAAGTTAGTACAGACTTAGTGTGATTCTACAGCAGTGGTTCCCCAAACTTTTTTGACCCATGGAGCCCTTTTTATAGTCAAAACTTGCCCACGGACCCCCAAGTGAAAAACTGCTTATATGTACGGTATAAAAAAAAAAACATTTTGTTGAAATTATATCTTTTGTTCTTTGAGATTTTAAGAGTGTATTTATGTCCGGCTCAATGTTTGTGAGTACTAATTTCTAATCATTTATTTATTTTTTTGTGATGAGGTTCATTACGGCACTGAAACTGAGAAAACAATATCCTTTTCCCAAGTTTTGTTCATACAGAAAAAGTTTTGCGACAAACATAGTTTTACGATTTTAGTTTTGATTCAATTTAATTGCTCATCTTATAGTTTCAAATTACTTTCGTCAAGTTTGGCAAATGTACTGAAAATACCTTCGCTGCAGCTTGTTTTAAGTTAGCCAGAAAACCTCAGTATCTTCCTATCATTGCTGGAGCACCATCAGTAGCTACATTCAAAAATGATATTAGTCAAGGGTATAGCTTTTAATTCAGTCAATAGCGTTTCACCTTTCGTATCGCTTTCCAAACATTCAGTAAATAACAATTCTCGGTAAAATTTTTATTCTTTTACATATCTTACATAAGCTAAAAGTAAAAGCTTCATTTCCTGGATAAGTGGACTCGTCAAGCTGTATAGAAAATTCAGATATTTTTAAGTACTCACATAAAGAATTTTCTATGCACTGAGATATTTTGTCAATCCTTCTTTGTACATTAGTATTACTCCGCAGAATTCTTTTTACAATGTTAAAAGCTTGTTTGTGCTAAACGGTGAGTATTATCTCACTTACAGCTAGTAAAATAAGTTCTTCAATAGTGTGAGGCTTTCCGGACTTTGCAATCATGGAATATATAGAAACATACGAAACTATGAGAAACATGCAATCCATCGTCCCCTCATTTAGATGTTGTCCCTATAAGTTGTTGCAGTAACGGTGTTTTCAGATATTTTTCTTTGACTGTTTGAAAAATAGTTAAATCTTTATCTTTCTTGTCACTATGGATTTTTATCAATTGTTCGTTAAGCTCGGAATGTTTAATTTAATCACTTGTTATAGTTTTATTACATAGAAGACACATTGTTAAAGTACTATTTCCTGGTGAAGAAATAAAGACATACTTCAAATATTCAACACTGTATTTTTGGCGTTTTTTCTTCGACTCATTCATACTGTTATCTCTGAAAAGGGACCGAAAGATATAAGAAAATTTGTAAATCAACTGTTTAATTTGTAACAAACCACTGTTAATAATTATAAGCATCCACCTTTATTTATAGTTTACTTGGGACATAAAAATCGCTACTATTTTATTTATCTTAATTTCTGTAATAATAAAAACGAATCACAATTTTATTATTTTACATTAAACCACACGCGATCAGTTTTTATTTTTCACGGACCCCTGGGGGTCCATATGGACCACTTTGGGAAACACTGCTCTACAGTAAGTCACAGTCACTGATTTAACATAAAATGGTTTTTTACCAGTCATATATCTCAGTTACTTAGAAGAATTTACTTGTAAATTGTTAAGGGTATAAAACTCACTACAAAGCACTACTCAGGTTGTTTAATTTTGATAAGTTACTCATTTTTGGCTAAATTAGTGGTCTTCACTCCACATTTTGTGCACATAGGCAAGTCAAAAGTAAACATACTTCATGGTGATCAATTGAAAACTGCAGTTCAAAGGTACTTTTGGCTGACATTACTATGTTACTTAATAATTAAAACTTGAAACACAATTAAAGAAACTTAGAAGTTTTTAAAATAAGCAACATTTGATATACATAATACTATATACAAATTTATTAAAATACATTTAGATCACATCTTTGCTTATTTTTTTTGTACAAAAGTATGAAATAGTACTACCCAGCAGTACTTCCAGCAGTATTACTTATTCCATTTCTTTTCAATCTATAACATGTAAAAATAAATGCAACACATTCCATTCATTTGAAGAATAACACAACTTCATTTTGAAGAGTTAACTTTGTTTCTATGCTTTCTCGTAGTTCTCAGATCATGTTTCGCTGAATGGCGTTTTATTGAAGCTCATATCAAACTTTGTGGTCGATCTGGTATCCGAGGAGGTATCATCGGTTGTACTCGCCTGAAAGACAATCAATACTTTTGTAAAATTTTTTCAAACATTATGTAATGAAATGTAAAATAACAATGAAAACTAAATAGTTTTCTAAATGGGTTTCTTGGTGTATTCCACCTGTAATGTAAATATTTTCACTTTTGTTAAACTAATAAAGCAAATTAAAAAAAATAGTTATGAACGAAAAAAAAAATAAATTCTAAGCGAGTGTTTTCATTTGATTAAAATTGCAAGCTAGCAAAAATCATGGTAATCATTATTTCCTATCATGCAATCATAATTTTTAAACAATTAAAAACGAATAGTCTAAATTTGAATTCTTACTATGGTCTTTAGTATCATAACCTATTGAAAATATTTCTCCCTCATTTGCACTCAAACAGTCAGCTAAAAAGTCAGTTTTCTGTATTTCTCCACATCTTTAGAACTATTTAAGCAAATCAAAAATTTTTGCACATAATTTATAAAACTCGTTTTTCTATAAATAAAATACAATAAGATAACATGTTTGTTTGAAAATAATTAATACATTTTTTTAAAAGGATCTTTATTTATATAATAATATATACGAAGATCCTTTAAAAAAATTCTAAATAATATTTATAAATATTATAATGATTGAAAAATTATTAAATTGCATATCTGCCGATTCTAATTTTTTAAGAAGAAGAAGAAGATTTACTATAAAGTTGCAGAAGAAATGATTTTAAATGCAGAAGACTTCATACGTTTTTAATTTTTTATTCCGTACTCAAATCAACAGTACAGTTATTGTAATATAAGGTGCCTCAAATGGAACATAGTTTTTTAGCTCAAACAGATCCAAAATAAAAGATATATCCCTTTTTTCTACTATCAGATACTCAGCATCTTATAGTTTTCACTAGTTAATGATCTGCAATATCGATCTGGCAAAAACACAGTACAAATTCTATGTCATTTGTATGAGCAAAGTGCGAGTATGAGTATAGAGTTCTTGGAAGGTTCAAATTTTAATGTATATTTTTTAAACGAAGTTTTCAGGCTCAATGCAGAAAATGGGGTATAAATGCAGACTGGTAGACAGTTATGGACTTATAGAGTGCACATATTCTCTACCTATTTTTAAGTTACATAATTTTTGAATTATGTAAGAAACAGGTGGAATAGTTTTTGGGTAATTTCATTTCAAAAAGTAATTTTAAATTTTATTTCTCAATAAAGTGAGAAATGGAAGTAATAAAATTCTGAGTGATAAAATTTTAATAAAGGGACATTTTTAAATGTTCATTTCTCAAGAACTATTCAACCAATTCCATTTAAATTTTGTTACTTAAAATTACTAAATTCAAAATGAAGTCGAAATATTTTAACCATCATTAAATTAAATATAAAATAATTTCAAAAAATAATTTTTTAAAGAAATTATCTTTGGATAAATTTTTATAATTGCGTGCAAAATGTTCTATTCACTGATATAGTTATAGTTCTAAAAAAAACAAAACAAAGGAAAAAAAAAACATTAAGGACTGAAAATTTCTGACTGTTTTCCTGACTAAACTATTGGTACTCTCCCTCACATTTTTTGAGGGTTGTAACTGTGAAGGTTTTTAAGAAGAATGGTATGCTTTTGAGAAAGTAGAGTTTTGTGCTTAATTGATCAGTCATATTCAGCTCCTTTTGATGTCATAAAACAATCTGTCAAAATTTTTTTAAAAAAAAATATTCCGACTTTTTTTTATTTAAATATTTTTTCACCTAAATTAAAAAGAAAAAAAAAATTGACCTTAAGATTCCTGCAAGTGGTTGCTTTCTCAGGGTGGTCACTCAAATCAGATTTCAAATTTCCCTGATTTTTCCAGGTTTTCCAGATAAAAATCTTAAAATTTCCAGGTTTTTGTTTCTTTTTTCTTATAAAGTATAGGATGTGTACAAGAAAAGTGTCTATATTATAAAATATTTTATTCAAAATGTTATTTTTTTAACATATCATCTTGAAAAAAATAATTTATTTTGACAATTTGGCAAGATTTTTTATTTATTTTTTAATGTTTTGGTACAAAATTTTGAATCAAAAATCATATATTGACCAACAAAAGAGAAAAATTAAATATTAATATATAGTGAGTTCTTAAAAAAACCTTCTTCTAAAATTAAAATATGTTATAAAAGGTTAAAATGAAATAGAAAAAATTAGCATTAATGCAACAATTGTAACTATTTGTCGACAAACACTGCTGTTAGCGACTGTAAAATAAAATGCGTGATTGGTTTGCTGAGAAAAGATAATTTCACGAATTTCTTTTAATGGGAATACAAAAGCTTTCAGAAAAAAAGTGCAACATAAAATCTATTATTATTAAATTATAACCAACAAATTTTTGGAGAATTTTATAAAGTTAAAAATACGAAATTTTTTTGTCATAATGGAAAAAAATTACCACGAAAGCATCGGAACAAACTTGAGCCATAAATGGATTCAGCCCAAGGACAGGATTTAAAAACAGAAGCTAATATCCTAATCCCTTCTTCCACCTCCACCACGATCTTTCCTAAATTGCACAGTCCCATAGCGGTCAAAGGTTTCTCTACATTCGTTTAG